GGCAGGAGTATCATCTCACTTATTGTATAGGAGCCGTCAAAACCAGCTGACCCAACTTTTTTTTCTTAGGAACATAGACTGCATTTTATTTAGGAACACTTTTGGTTTCAGGTTTCATTCCATTGTAAAGCAAATTAGGTCAACTGATATTCAATTTAACTAAGCAAACACCCCCGTCAGCATATATTGTTGTAATGTGTATTATATATGACACACATTAAATGATTAAAGAACAAATGCTCACATTTGCATAAATAAGGATAAAAAAACAGTTTGAAAAAGAGTTTTGGAAGAAACAACATAAATCTACCATTCACTAAGATTAAACAAAAAAGTCTCGACAGTGACAAAAAATGAATAAAAATTAACATAAAATTAATAATAAAAAATAATAACTTTAATCTCTTTTGTAAATCACATGACAACAAACTTTCCTCTATAGATCATAATACTCATTATCAAAGAGCAATCCTTTAAGATACTGAATAATAATATACTATATAAATATATAATATTTGTAAAACATAATCCTATAATATATTAATATAAATAAATCTATCAATAATATTTAATTGCAAAATACATAACTTTTCATATATCTGATCCAGTTTTAGTTCAATTTCAATAGTTTTTGTTCGGAATAAATATGTGTACTCTAACGTTAAGCTAAATTTAGAATTTATTTTGTTTTTTTAAGGGGTTGTCACATGTAAGAGATTATTGTAATATCTCTGACTGGTCTTTCGTGTGATTAAAATGAGATCTAAACTGCCTCCTATTTATTGCGATCTTGCGATCCAAGATGGCCGCCCTCTAGGCACGCCGGCCAGCATCCAATGAGGTGTCTATGTATATAATGTGTATGGCGGTGACGGCCAATCACACAAGAACAGACGGTGGGCCAATCAGGAGCTTGTGGGTGGACTAAACTCAGGGAAGCAGGCTTCAGTTTGAGCAGTTTTTTCCGCATGGTCCTAGTGCTCGATGATTGTCTATGTACTGTAATGTAACATTGTTTTTGGACGGTAAAATGTGCAGGGGACCAAAACAGACGTTTGACATGTCCCCCACTGTCCCCGTCAAAATTACGTCCATGTTTGGCTCCATCTTGGGTTTCATTCTTTTCATGGCTCGGAATGCTCTCTTTTCCAGAGTCCATTGTTGCGGGACATTAGTGGTGCGTGGAAAAGTGCTTACTTCAACATGCATGCATCAAAATGCTACTCTACCTGCAACTCTGTTTTCCATCTATGTGTTGACAGGCCCTCTTAAAGCATGTTACTGCCATCTAAAGGACTGGAAGAATAAATTCTGTCTCTTGCTCTCTTTAAATGTAACTTGACCAAAAGGTTAATGCTACTGCAAATATTAAATAGCTTTTTAATATAGTGAATATATTTTGTAACCCTGTATATCCTAATGGTTGATTTAGGCTGCTGAGTCAGCTTGTTGGTCTCGTGTAAAAGAGTTACTGTTGACAGGAGGTATTATTTTGAACAGAAATAATCCTTTCTCTGGTACTGGCAGAGCTGTCAATTTTGGCTTTATTTATTTACTGCTTAAATACATATAACAGCACTCCTTTGCACTCTGGGAAGCCCAGTTTTAGCACAGAGGGAAAAATGTTTGTCAGTAGAGCATGTTTCTGTTTGCTGTTTGAGCCTAATGCAGATAAGAGGAGAGTAGGTGTAGTTGGAGTTGGATTGAAAACTAGAAGAGAGAAGGAAGCCCTCTTTATGTATGACAGTGTGGGAGTGTACTGTGTATAGTTGAGTTTAAATCAGTTTGTGTGTTTTTTGGTAATTTCTGATTGCTTCCAGGTTTGGTAGCTTTGGACTGAGTGTTGTACATCTTTTTCCAGTTGGACTTTTTACACAAAACATACAACTTTTGTTGATGTTTTAAGTTTTTCCTGCAGAACTAATGGTGTGCAAATGGAGAAGAGGGTCTTCAGTGCCATATTTATAACTAGCATTGACGGTGATGGGCAGCAGCATTTATATCGGGTTTCTGCTTGGCCAAACTTAATTGCTTTGATGGCCCCTGACTTCTTCTTTAGGGCCTCTATTGTGAAAGGTCCTCACAACAATCTGGCTGATTGCTAAATCATGTTTTCTTGTTCACTTATTGTTTTTGCTGTTTTTTCAACAGATATTCATTTAAAGTAAAATGTGTTTTGGAGTTGTTCTGTCCAGGGATGGATACAGAGGGAATGTTTTAATATTTTTATGTTTTTGTAGGATTTTGTTGAAGCCACACTCTGCCAGTTATCCTCTCTTCTATGGGTGAAAATCATCAAGAAAGAATACATCTTATCGACCATGTTTGACTGTGATACAAACCACTCGTAAACATGTTTGTGTGCAGGGAAATAAAGCATGATTTTCTGAGGCATCACATCTTGGAGGCTCAGATGGATTTAAGGAAAGAATAAATAAGCCATGGTGTGTGAAATAACCAATTTCTATATTGCACCTAAAGCTTAAGAGGATTAACTTTGAAGGAATATAATTTATTTATCGGCTGTTTTTTAATTCCATATAAAATTTTCATTACATTTACTCCTGAATTTGCTTCAGATATCCTGATATTTACACTTATTCCATTTGATTCCCATAGATGTTGGTGCTTCCCCAGATTTCATAGATGTTTGTTTCTGTCAGTGAACACCAGCTTTTTGTTTTATAACCTGCTTTGATTTAAATTAACATGAATTATTTATATGCTTTGAAACTCTTCTAGCAACATTTCCCTAGAGGCAGTATGCAATTTGTAATTTCTACAACCATGAACAGATTAATTAACTTTCTATGTTCTTATCTCTAGCCGGATTCAAACACATGTTCCTATAGTCATGTTATCCTAAAAAGTTGAGCATTAGATGTCAAACTGGTGGGGGAACCTTTGTAATGGTGGCCAACTTCTTAATGCATTACCAAAGGAAAGCCTGGCTAATATGATATCCATTTGACCCAATAATGCTTTTTGAACTCAAGGTTCTGTTTGGGTAAAGTGGTAGCATCACCATGAGCCATGCTAGTCTAGTCATTACCTCACTCTAATGAGGGCTTATCAATAATTTAGCTTTTATACATCAGAGTTTCAGGGGTGGATCCAGTGGGACATTACTTACACACACTTTGCCTTGGGTGGTCTGCTTTGTTTTCATGTTTCCTCACACAGATAATCATATAATCTCCTCAGTTAACAGTTTTCATTGAGGTAGGGTGTCAATGAAATAGTCATTTAAACAAAAAGAACTAGTCTAAAATAACTTGTAGCCTAACAGGTGGCAACAGATTAGGGTTTTTCACATCCGAGCTTAATGAGGAGGCGACTATAAGCTATGAACAGTTTCATTATTATCTGGTCTGGTTTGTATATTCCCCAGCTGTGTACCCTTTGTAGGCTGCAGCTACTGTTGTAAAAGAAAGGGAGAACAAAATATAGATTATGTGCAGCTTGTTTGCAGAGGGAAGTTAATTGCATGAACTATCTGGTCTCCAGCCTTTTATAAAAAGGGATATTTCCCTTGGATTTTATGTGTAGAAATAGATAATCATAAGTCAAACTGCTTTTATCAGCCGGTGTTCCACTTTTACCAGGTAAAGAGTTTAGTTTCAGGTTGATATTTAATCAGCGGAAGAATGATGCAAAGTCTCACTAAATACCTTTTTCAGATCTATTAAAATGTCGACTAAATAATTGACTGCTGCATTGAGGTGACTTGTAAACATTTGCACACCAAGAGGCAAATCTAATTTGAACATGATAACCTGGAGAGTTGAGGTTTACCGAGGTCTAAAAAGCAGATTTCAAAGTTTTTATTTTTACCGTTCAAAGATATCAACGGCAAATGATGCACTAAGACCATGACCGGAAACATGTCTGTTTTTGGAGTGCAGACCATGTCAGAAATTCTATGATCCTGAATTTTTGGAGATGGCATTTTAAAGACGCCGTTTGTGGTTTTAGTTTAGAGGAATGGTCTGAGAATTTCCAATTTCCATCTGTTTGCCTGTGGTAGATGCATTCAGAAGCCAGAGACCATACTTTCCCTTTAACCTTGTTGAATTTTAGAAAAGACCTTGCATCTAGAAAGTTCAGCGATTCAAATTGCCAATTACTAACCCATCTTTCTTTAAACATGAGGTTTACGTGTTGGGAAGTCAAAATGTCTTTGAAATCTAATGGTATTATATAGTTACTAGTGTTGTAGGAAAAGAGTGTGAATACGCTGGTCAAACCCCTTCCCTCCTGTGTGTGAACACATCTCACATAGGAACCAGATTCTGAGTGTCTGGGTCAGGGTCATGAGCAGACGGGGCAGAAGAGAGGCTGAATATGAACGTCAGCAGTGACCTGACCTGACCTCTGACCTCCCTGTCTCACAGTAGCTCTCTGTTCCCATTGGTGTCACACAGGATCTGTTCCGTTAGAGACGACACAGCCTTCTTTTGTTGCTAGATATTAATCTCAGCAGCTTTGAACTTAACAAATAATTCAATTATTATTATTTATAGATTTAAACTTTTTATTTTACAAATCAGCCTTTAGGCTGATGGAGAAAAGCAAAGAAAAAAAAAAAGGAAAACTTATTTTACAAATCTGTTAAGAAAATGACTGAGGAGAAAGGCCTTTATATTCCCAACTACCGGTACTTGCAGCTTTCCCAGCTCAGAAAACTGAGTCTGTTTTCTTTCCCTGTTGGAGACCAGATGGGCCATCTCCAGAAAGTGATAAATTTGTTGTCGCCTCTTTTTATCTTATGAAGCATAACAATGGCCTCTAGCACTTTTCTACTTTCATAAAGTTTAATTGTTCATGACAAATTCTTAGTGCTTTTGTGCTGTAAAAGCAAAATGTCCTAAAAAAGATACAAAAGGGATTTATAGTTGTTTAAATTTTCAGTCACCTTACATAGAACGATGTACTATGCACTCAGTTGGTAAGCTAATAATCATCTCCTCAAATGTAATATCTTCCTTCTTATTGTCCAGGCTTAGCTGCAGACCCTGCCCACACCGCCGGCCAAGATGGTGGTGCTGTCACTCAAAATCTGCGTGCGGCAAGGCAATGTTGTGAAAACGATGCAGTTTGAGCCTTCCACAGCAGTCTATGATGCCTGCAGGATCATCAGAGAGAGGGTCCCAGAGGCTCAAGCTGGACAAGGTGAGCTTTTCAGTGATACTGAAATCTGCACCATTGGATAAGAAATAACATACACCAGTTTTAGAAGCAAAAAATTAAAAATGCACATACATACAGTTCCTTGTATAAAGTAGTTCTATGCTTTAAATCCTCCTTGATTTTGTTATATTTTGACAGATTCCTCCTCTGTTGTTTGTGTGTGTTTTTTTTTTTTTTTTGGCTGTTTCCGTATTTGGTACCAAAACAAAAACGGCCGCATAACTTTCAGAAGAAACCTTATTTTGTCTTTACAAATAAAAGTCGTCTCCAATATCAGCTGTACATCTTACAGGGTTATGTCTCTTTTATAGAAACTCTAATTTACAGACTTAAAATTGCTCAAACCCAGTACGTTTGGACCTTGAGAATCTCTGAAACGGTTGATGTGGCTCAGATTCAGCTATGCTGGCATCATGGCCGCCTCAGGTTAATGCTCTCCTCCCCTTCTCAGCTCTGTGAGGTGGACCTCCATGTCTTGCCTTGCCTTGTTCACAGCTGTTACCTTTTTTCATTTTTCTCAGAGTATGTGGTAGCATTGGATTTTATTTAGGGGTTTGAAAATATAAGTGGCCGATTGTACTTTTTAAATGTTTCTTTGGTAAAGATTTCAGTCAAAGTCAGATCACATTCTCTCCATTTTCAGTTATGCAGCAAAAAGATAAGTTGGGAGTTAAAGGTACATAAAGCATTGTGGAAGCTAGGTCCTATTAAACTCTGAATAATATTGTTATAATTTATGCATGACAGATGTATCCATTATCCTGCATTTCATTGATCTAATGCATATTCTTTGCATTTATGATAGAAAAATCTGAGCCTTGTTAGTTCAGCCATAAAATCTGAACACTTTTCACAGCTTCCAGTAGAAACATGTTGGAGCCTCATCAATCATTATATTTTTTTCAGTTTCAAGTCAAACTTATTTGTACCACATGGCTACACTAAAGTCATCATTCCCCACTTTGCTTTGTTTTTGACTAGCGATCTCTGTTCCTAGAAACCTTTAACATAGGAATTCCTGGAAAACAGTCCCACATCTGATTATATTTAAATGTTTAATGTTGAGCTTTAGACTCTTCTCAATTGTCTGTCTGTTTTCTGAGTCTGTTTTTTATTTTTAATAAGCATCATTTAATCTTTTGGTGTTTGTCCTCACTGCTCCAGCCTCGGATTATGGCCTCTTTCTTTCTGATGAAGACCCCAGGAAAGGGATCTGGTTGGAGTCTGGAAGGACACTGGACTATTACATGCTCCGTAATGGGGTAAATATATCAGTCTGTTTAACCTGCAGCCACATCAAACAACATTGCAATCATCATGTGAATGTTTGCTTTGAATATAGAGAAAAGCTTAAGGGAACTCTTAAATGACTATTATGGAACTGCAAACACACACACTGTCAGTTGAGAGGTGTGAGTGAGTCAAACACCAGGGATGGATGTGTGAATAACCTGGACAAACTCATCAGCAGTCTGTCTGTAGCATTCCTCGCTGTAGCTACTAAATTGGTTCCCCTCTTCAGATTCACCAAAGGCAGCCCAGGTAGGAGGCATGACTGTGACCGTTTATTGTGAACCAAATCTCACCCCATTGTGCTGACTGGAATGGGAGCAGTTGGCCGCGATAGCCTCCCGTTTAATAAGCTTTTCAGGCTTCTGTTCTTCCTTCTCTACTTGCAACCTGGTTGCAAATGATCGTTTCCTCCCCAGCGACTTTCTCTGACTTTATTTTTTTTTAAGTGCTTCTCATATGTAACTTTACAATTGATCTCCTCTACTTTTTATTAATATTTTTCTATGTTTTTTCCCCCACTTGTGTTTTAACAGGATATTCTTGAATACAAGAAGAAGCAGAGGCCCCAAAAAATCAAAATGTTGGACGGAGCCGTTAAAACAATCATGGTGGATGACTCAAAAACTGTTGGCGAGCTGCTTGTGACCATCTGCAGCAGAATAGGTACGTCGTAATCGGTGAAGATGTTTTCCCTCTCCTTTCTTCCAAGATATAACGTTAAATGCTGGGATTGAACAGCATCGAGTTAGCTAAAAGTAACATTTGATCTTAACTCTTGTATTGTTTTTGGTACAGCTTATTTGCTGATCCACAGCATGTACTGTGCATTGCAGAAGGAGTCACGCTGTACTCATACTTGAGTGGTCTTGTCACCTTACTGCCACAGGTTCTATGTGTTTTTATTTGATAGATCAACACATGAATCGGTAGCATTTAAATTATTTATGGTGCTTCTTTTTCTTAAAAAAATAAACAAAACAAAAAGAAAGAAAACACAAAAAGGATAGCAAGCACCAAAAAAAGTGTAGTTTAAACATCAGGGTGAGTCGAGCTGTTCTATTGAGGCTTCAGAGGTTTTAATAAGGAACATTTATGAATAAACGGCATTGCAAAGACCAATTAACAACTTGACTGTTGAGTGGTAAAGTTGAGGAAAAACATTAAAAAGGGGCGTGGGCATAAAGCGATATGACTTGGCCTTGTATGTCAGCGGCAGCACTTCAAGCCTTCACCGTAGCTCTGGAGGAGCTGCAGATATCAACAGACAGGAATAGCTATTAGGCATGCACGCCACAATCTGGCCCTAATAGAGGATTGAGCAGAAAGGCATTGTTGAACTAAAGCCAGCAGAAGGCCTATTTAAAGTTTGCCATAGGCCATGCAGAGGGGGGAGCAAACATGAAGGAGCTCCGACCAAATGAGACCAAATTACAGGCGTTCTACTTCCACACATAATCAGAAAACTACATGCCATTCTAAACTTACAATCCCTATGATTAAATCTACTGGAGGCATCATGCACTTTTTATAATGGGGGAAATATTAATGGGTAGAGGAATGGAGCTAAATACAAGATAATCCTGGAGGAAAACCTGTCCATGACCCTGCACATACCGCTAGTGCTATTATGTGATGGTTTTAGTTGTGGCTGAAACAATTAATTGGATGATTGTGAGGAATCAATTATTGAAATAATTAATAGCTTGAGTATAGACGCTCTAAAACATGCCTTTGACTAAAATAGCAACCCCCTCAAAGCAACTATTGTACCAGAATTATAACAGGTATATAAATATTTTGCATTTAAGATGAGAAACCCTTTTTTTCTCCATTGATATGTTGATCCAGTTGTCCTCAAAGAGCACAGTTTAGCTTTATTTTACTTGGTTTAGATTCTATCTAAAATCTTTTTTTAAGGAACCTGCTTCAATCTGATTATTAAACGCTTAATTGAAAAAAAAAATATGGGTTATTTGATTAGCAAAGAAGTTGTTAGTTGCAGCCCTAGTTTTAATTAAAATATGCTCATTTCCCAGTCAAAGTCCAGACCTAAATCCGAATCTGTGCCAAGACATCAAATTTGGTTCCCACATCTACCTGGGCATAATTTTATGATTTCTTTTTTTTTTTTTTTTTTTATGTTTTTAAGGTGTGTGATACTTTGCTTTGGTTTGTCAATAAATACAATTTTTTTTTATTTCTTTTTTTTTTTTACTTTTTTGACATGAAAAAATAACACAGTTCAGAGAGACAAACAAATCTATGCAAGAGACAAATTAACTGTCAAGATCTGAATCAGCTTTGTCTAACAAATGATCGAATGTTGCATTTTCACTTTCAGGAATCACAAACTATGAGGAATACTCTCTGATCCAGGAGACGGTGGAGGAAAAGAAAGAGGACGGCATGGGTACACTGAAGAAGGACAGGACACTGCTGCGAGATGAGAGAAAGATGGAGAAGCTGAAAGCCAAATTGCACACAGATGATGACCGTAAGTTTGAAAAGGAATAATTAAATAGGCAAAATTAAGTTTTCCTCCCAAATAAGAATAATTTTAAACTAAATTAATTGATATGTCTGCTAACTCAGTAATAATTGAACAGCTTAAACCTATGGCTGTGCACTGGTCAAGGGTCCAGTCATCTAGCATCATTAGTTCTTATAATAAAAGCTGCAGAACTTCTTCTCTTGCCTGTTATAGATGTTTCATGTCTCTCTAAATGACTTCTGAACACAATTTCTGAACTGAAGAAGTGAATTTAGGAGCTGTACATGAAAAACTGTTTCAAGCTGAAAGCTTTCCCTATTAGGTTGTGTTTAAACCCTTTCTTAGTTTAAAGGTATGGTGGAGGATGTTTTTTTCCCCAGGTGGATCGTCAAATAAGTGGTCCTCCTAATAGTCAATCATTCTGGTGATACATTTTTATAAGGCCGTCCTATGTGTTTGTCCCCATTTTCACTTACCAATGGTGAGTCTGACATAGTGGAAAAATTGCAAATATTCTTTTGGAAAGTAAGCTTGTATGAGGGATGCAAACAGCAACTTTAAACTGAGCGTGCACGAGGAGAAAGGGGCTCCAGCACGCTCTCGCACATGTTTGATAGGCGCTCCCTCTCGGGAGCGTGCGCAGGGTTGTGCACATGCATTTTATTTATTTATTTAATTTTTTTTTCTAAAGTAGAGAGGACGGGTCTTTTCAAATATTCGCAAAAATCCTCCACTATAACTTTAAGGTACAAAGACAAAAAGATGCAAGACAGAATGATGTTAACTGTAGTGTATTGTTTCAGTGAACTGGTTGGACCACAGCAGAACGTTCAGGGAGCAGGGCGTGGACGAAAACGAGACCCTTCTGCTCAGACGCAAGTTCTTCTACTCGGACCAGAACGTGGACTCCAGAGACCCCGTCCAACTCAACCTTCTTTATGTTCAGGTGAAGCAGCTTCGCCGGGCACGAGTGTTTGTAGAGGAAGCCTCCCCCATTACAAACTGTTGTTCCCCAGGTTTTGGTTTCAGGTTGAGTTTGTTTTAGTTTGGATTTTCTTGGTTTGTCTTTCAACATTTTCACCCATTCACATTGACATAACTGCACCAACATATTTTTTTTATACACTATATTGCCAAAAGTATTTGCTCACCTGCCTTGACTCACATATGAGCTTAAGTGACATCCCGTTCCTAATCCATAGGGTTCAATATGACGTCGGTCCACCCTTTGCAGCTAGAACAGCTTCAACTCTTCTGGGAAGGCTGTCCACAAGGTTTAGGAGTGTGTTTATGGGAATTTTTGACCATTCTTCCAGAAGCGCATTTGTGAGGTCGCACACTGATGTTGGACGAGAAGGCCTGGCTCTCAGTCTCCGCTCTAATTCATCCCAAAGGTGTTCTATCGGGTTGAGGTCAGGACTCTGTGCAGGCCAGTCAAGTTCATCCACACCAGACTCTGTCATCCATGTCTTTATGGACCTTGCTTTGTGCACTGGTGCACAGTCATGTTGGAAGAGGAAGGGGCCAGCTCCAAACTGTTCCCACAAAGTTGGGAGCATGGAATTGTCCAAAATGTCTTGGTATGCTGAAGCATTCAGAGTTCCTTTCACTGGAACTAAGGGGCCAAGCCCAGCTCCTGAAAAACAACCCCACACCATAATCCCCCCTCCACCAAACTTTACACTTGGCACAATGCAGTCAGACAAGTACCGTTCTCCTGGCAACCGCCAAACCCAGACCCGTCCATCAGATTGCCAGATGGAGAAGCGCGATTCGTCACTCCAGAGAACGCGTCTCCACTGCTCTAGAGTCCAGTGGCGGCGTGCTTTACACCACCGCATCCGACGCTTTGCATTGCACTTGGTGATGTATGGCTTGGATGCAGCTGCTCGACCATGGAAACCCATTCCATGAAGCTCTCTGCGCACTGTTCTTGAGCTAATCTGAAGGCCACATGAAGTTTGGAGGTCTGTAGTGATTGACTCTGCAGAAAGTTGGCGACCTCTTCGCACTATGCGCGTCAGCATCCGCTGACCCCGCTCCGTCAGTTTACGTGGCCTACCACTTCGTGGCTGAGTTGCTGTCGTTCCCAAACACTTCCATTTTCTTATAATACAGCTGACAGTTGACTGTGGAATATTTAGGAGCGAGGAAATTTCACGACTGGATTTGTTGCACAGGTGGCATCCTATCACAGTTCCACGCTGGAATTCACTGAGCTCCTGAGAGCGACCCATTCTTTCACAAATGTTTGTAAAAACAGTCTGCATGCCTAGGTGCTTGAATTTATACACCTGTGGCCATGGAAGTGATTGGAACACCTGATTCCAATAATTTGGATGGGTGAGCAAATACTTTTGGCAATATAGTGTATCTATATATATATTTTCTTTGAATAGATATTAATAAATCATTTCTTTTGTGTCCTTTCTTTCTTTTCTATGTGAATTCAAGTTTCAATAAACTGGCTGGACCACAGCTGTTCACTGAAACGCTCTGCCTGTCACTTAACCCCCTGGGTTAAGTGACAGGCAGAGCGTTGCTGGAGATGATGAGTCTCACTCATTATCAAAAGGCTGTAAAGGAGGAAAATATCCCAGTATATGTTGGATATCATTTCCACTAATGACTGCTGCTCTTTTATGTTATTTAATAAAATAAACTGTGTTGAGCCCCTATTTTTCTTCTCTGACGAATGCCGCCGTTTTCACCAGTGATGTTTTTTTATTTTGTTTATAAAGTGTCATCTGTGAGAGCTCTGAGCAGCTGCAGTAGGAGGAAGTCCAGACCAGACTGTTGCTGTTTCACAAACTGCAGCGACTGCTTTGAACCAGTCTCCCTTTTGTCCCCCGGTGATGCTGTTAAATAAATGAGAGCGATGAGCTGTCCTCTGGACATCTTAGTAACTAAACCGTTGAAACAGGCCTTTCACACTGTTAGGCCTTTCTGCCCCATTTACAGGAAATGAACATCTGTTTAAGCTCAGGATGCGTCCCTGATTCTGTTAAGCATGTCGTTGTCGGACCCCTTTTTAAACAAACACGCATTGATGCGAATTGTTTGTCAAGTTTCAGCTCTCTTTCTAATTTGCTTTTAATTTCCAAGTTCCTTGAGCAATTTTTTTTTTCATAAAGTTACAATTTTTCTGAGAGAATAACTGTCCTTAAGAAACCTCATGCTTTCTGTCTATTGATGCCCGACTTTCTCACCTCAATCAGCATGTTATTGTTCAGGGTTTTGCAATGAAATGGTTTGTTTCATTAGAAGCAATTCCATTAGAAGTATTTCTGTAATGATCCGTGATCTATCCTCCACTGCTTCTCTTTTTGGCAAAGTGCCCCAGGGCTCCATCCTGGGTCCACTATGGTTCCCACTTTACATGCTGCCACTAGGATCTATTATAACCTGACAAAATTTCCCCTTCCACTATTATGCAGATGATTTCCAGATCCATTTCCCTGTGCCTCTAAATACTGGTGGAGCTCATTAAACATTAAAGCATTTCAGACATTAAGATGTGGTTAGGGGGAAATGTCTTCACTTCATACAGAATGTGGGTTAATTGGAGATTGGTCCACCTTTTTTAAGTCACATTGACCTCAAGAAAACTATTTACTCACTTCTAAGCTCCACTTTTTAAACTCGCTTTATGGTGGTGCCTCCCAAATATCAATTTTTTTCTGTTTCCTGCATTTTAACCAACATTCCCTGACAACAGAAAATCATCCCAGTCTTTTTTATGTTCTTCACTGGTTTCCAGTTTCTTTTAGGACTGATTTTAAAATATTGCTTTCTGTTTGTAAAGCCCTTAATGCTCTTTCCTCTCCATACCCTTCTGAGCCCAACTAGGGTTTACGGTCAACACAGCTGCTCTAGTTAGGCGTCCCTAGATGTAGACTTTGTGTTTGTTTTGGCCAGGCTTAAAACTGTCTTATTCAGACTGGCCTGTACTTATTAATTGGTTTTCTCATTTTGTTTCTATAATATTGCATTTATGCATTTTTTTGAGAGATTTTATTTTATATACTAAGCTCTGCATCCATTCGCGATACTATAATAATAAAAATAATAATTATGTTCTGAATTCTATATATTCTAAGTTTAGTGACATTCACACCAGCTTTAAAAAGGTTAGAAAGAAACCACAAATACTGCTGTTTCATTTTTGCAACTATTTTTCTCTTAATGTCTTTTTTTTTTATTAATTGGCCTATTAAATTATATCAAATACAGTTTCCAGCTAATGCTGTACTGCATTCTCAAATAGTTTTTACTATATTAAAAAACAAAACATGTTTTCCAATAGAATAAATTACTCAGCCTAATATTTCTGGTAAAATTAAAATGTAAGAATTATTTTAAATGAAGATAAAAATGTTTGTAGATTATTTACATCATTATGCAGTAAAAACTGTCTCCAGTTGTCTTTCTTCAACTAAGGAGCTGTTTTGTTGTTCTCTCAGGCACGAGACGACATCCTAAATGGTTCCCATCCTGTATCATTTGACAAAGCCTGTGAGTTTGGAGGCATCCAGGCCCAGATCCAGTTTGGACCTCACATAGAGCATAAACACAAGCCTGGATTCTTAGAGTAAGTATATATTTGTTTGATGATTAATTTAGTTTAAATCATAAACATTTTACGTAAATACTTTAGAATTGGAATCTGTTTAGATTAGACGTTATTTTATTTAGGAATGCGTATAAACTGTTAAAACCATTTCCCAATTTATGCCTGTAATATATTTAATTTCTTGAATCAAGTCTAAAGGAGTTCTTACCCAAAGAGTACATCAAGCAGCGAGGAGCTGAAAAGAAAGTATTTCAGGTGTGTGAAGTTTGTTTTTCTGTGTTTTTAATATTAACAATATAAAATTAAATAAGTTGCTTAAACCCAAAATTAAACCTGCAGGAACACAAAAATTGTGGAGAAATGACAGAGATTGAAGCAAAAGTGAAATATGTCAAGCTGGCGCGGTCTTTGAGGACGTACGGTGTCTCATTCTTCCTCGTCAAGGTAAGCTTGTCTCAGTGCATTACTTTTTGTGCAGAAATTTTTCGAAGGAGCTGAAATATTCTGAAAGGATGAAATGAAGGTTAAGAGCAGGTAAAAGAAGGCCAAAAAAAGTTATAAAACAAACCACCGGACTTGGTTTTCCAAGTTTGAAGATGATCCAGGAAGTTTTCTGAATTAAAAATGTCTTAAGTAGTGTTGAGTTCCAGGTTTATAGAGTGGCCCAAACAAAAGCTTTACAAAACATGCAAATTGAACCGGACAAACAGGTCCACCCATTAGTAATAGGGAGTCGTTAAGGTCGTTGTTGGCCTGCAAAACCCAATACTGGCTCATGCCTCTGAAAAGGGAGATGTGAGGGTTATTGTTGGCCTGGCCTGGGTTGGCTGACCAGGTGAGAGGTTTTGGTCTGCTGCATGGCAATGAGGATTGAGATGAAAGCGGGAAGGAATCAACTCTATCATGGCTTTGTAGGTTTATGAGAGCTGGAACCTGAGACCACCCCCCCTGTTTAAGGTTGTTTTTTCTCTCCTAACATTAATAGCTTCCTTCACACCCTTTTCCTACCACCTGTCTTCTTTGTCCAAAATGTGAACATTCTGGTCATCAAATGAACGTCCTATGTCCTTAAGGTGTAGCTGGACAGCTGAGTTTTGTCCGGAGGAGGTAGCTCTTCTGTGTTGGGCCATGCCTCTGTGGAGAGGTTGTTTGGTTTCTCCATTATAAAGATAAGAGCATTCCTTACTGCACTGAACTGCATACACCACTCTGCTTTTTTCCTTAGGATGCACTAACCTTTGTCTAAGGGTCTTGTTTGGTTTGCATTGTACATGTGATTTTGTGTTTGAGAAAATCCTCTGGAGTTTTTCCAGAGACTCCACTGTTCCATGCAGGAAGAAACCAAGGCTGTCTGTGAAGCAAAGGAAGCTTTAGACCCAGACAGCAGACTGGGTGACAGATAGAGGCTCTCGCTTAGAGTCCAACTGGCAGCAGATTCACAATAATAATAGAGCAGATTTTATCTGCCGTGACATTAGGGACAAGAAATGTAAAGAAATACTTGATCAACTAGCAGCTTCACTGTTTTTCCAAATGTAGCTCACAGCTCCAACCTTTCCCCTTTTCAATTCCTCCTAAAAATAGCTCTGGTATATTTAATGTCCTTTTACTTATCGGCCCTCCCTCTGATTACCTCCTGAACCGTTAAACATTTCCTCTCACCTTTGTTGCATTTGTGAATGTTAAGGTTGATCCTACGGAGGAAGTCCCTGGAATAATCCCAGGAAAAAAAAATCAGCTGGCAGCTCCTAACCTTTAACTCTCAGAAGCCCATAGAGAGCTTACTGTCCCTGCTGGACTCGTGCACACCTCACCTCTTTGCCCTCACATCACAGCCCATCACATTCTCTCAGTCTGCTCCTCCCAGCTTCACTTTCTCAAGAGGCGTTTGCTCTTTTCCACACAGTTGAAAACTTGAATAACTATGATGAAGAAATAACACCTTTAATAGTGAGGTGTGGTAATTAATTCATAATGAAATCTTTTTTTTTTCCTTTGATCCCACTTGAAAACAAAGATAGTCTGTAAAACTCTAGCATTTTTAACTGAATCTCCACATTTAGGTTAAAGGTCTATCTCAGTAGATTAGAACTTTTGATAATAGTGGATTTGTAGTTGAATTCACTTTAATACAATACTTCTATTCCACACACTGAAGACTTTGGACCAGTCTAGTTATTTTATCCTTAGTCCAGGTAAAATACTTCATACAGTCTCTAGTTGCAAAGTGGCTTTGGAGACTCCAACCCCAGGACTCCACATGAAGCCCACATTTTGGAAATCCTCCACAAGCTCTTCACCTGGCTTTGTTCCACAGTTCTCTTCATACTGCGCTGATCATAGTTTCTTTTTGCACTTTAAAAAACCTCACTTTTTCTCTCCACTCAACAATCCATGGATGTTTACATGCAGCACTCTGAACAACCAGCTTCTCTAGTATTGACTTTCTGTGGCGTAGCCATCATCTACTGGGAGAATGGATGTTTGCAATAATGTTATTTGTGCCATAATTTTAAAAATATGATTTATTTACCAGGTGTGATGGTAAAGTTGAACAGAAATGGATACAGAAATGTATCACTGTTTGCAATAAATCTTTAGCATTTCAAATTTCTGAATTACAACAGAGATAACTTTATTTCTAATTTGCAAAGACGCACCTTTGGATTATATGTAGGCTACTGTTTGAAACTTCAGTGGAGTCTATTGATGGGTTCAAATAGATTTCTGTCAAAGTATTTTTTTTTTGTTGTTGTTGCAGGAAAAGATGAAGAGTAAGAACAAGCTGGTACCTCGACTCCTGGGTATCACCAAGGAGTCGGTGATGAGAGTGGATGAGAGGACCAAAGATGTGGTTCAGGAGTGGCCGCTCACCACCGTAAAGAGGTGGGCTGCGTCGCCCAAAAGCTTTACACTGGTAAGATTGCCTAACACTGAGGTTTAGGAACCATCTGGGATTTAGTTTGTTTTCCAAGGCAGGATAAGAATGTAGAAAAGAAATGGAGAAGGGAAACGGTTTGAGATTCTGGCCCCTATATTCAAGTATCTGAAATAAGAATCTAAACCTTTTTTATATTGATTTTTAGATTTTACTGAAGGGGAAACTCGCACAAAAAGAGCATTTTGATGGTTATCCAGGTATTAGACCTTCAAAGTTCACCTTTCAGCTGTGTGGCTGGTTCTTCATATGGATCAGGTTTAGATGCTTAACATCTTAAATATTGTGGATTTTCTTTTTTATACTCTACAGAAGGCAAACAAAGATTAAAAGTGGACCGTGAGAAACTTCTGTTTACAGTAGGATAAGCTGCTCTATATTTCATAAGCGTTATTATTAGGGCTGAAACAATTAATCGTGATTAATCGGTTATTGAAATATTAATCAACCCATTTAGTAAATGATTAATCGTTAACTGTAATATAGAGACTCTAAAACATGCCTTTAGCTGACAGAGCAACCCATGTAGAGCAGTACTTATATCAAAATTGTAAAAACAAATTCATAAACATGTAGCCTTTAAGATAAAAGAAAAAAAAAACTCTGCCAATATACTCTACCCAGAACACCTGAAGTGGAAAAGTTTGAGTTTCACCTGGTTTAATTTTATAAAAGGGTTCTTTAAGGAACCTTTGGCTATCCCATTATTAATCAGTAAAATAAATGACAGATTAATCAATTTGCAAAATAATCGTTAGTTGCAGCCCTACTACTTAATATTCTAGATTCTGAAATGGAGATAATATAATTCTTTCTAGGTACTAAGTAAGTAAAACAGTCGTCCTATTGTAAAAAGATGAAGTATACCCTCTACACTGCAGAATCAGTGCACCTTGAAGCTAAAGAAAGTGTAAAATAATGGGTCTGTGCTCAATTTTCCAGATTGTTATAAAGTGAACAGGTGAAATATTTCCAAATTTCAGACTGGAAGTGTATAGAATCTAGAAATAAAGAATCTCCAGTAAACCCTGGTTGTATCTTTGCTGATCAGGTTTTCTCTTTTTAAGGTCATGTTGGTCATTTCACCTCCCCCCCCCCATTTATTTCCTCTCTTACAGTCGCTGAAACGACTCTTCTCCTTCCTGTCAATATGTCTTCTTTGTATCAGTGCCCATAAGTCCAGAAACAAAACCCAGCTTTAGTCTGTTATCTGTAGGATCTTTGTCACTGTTCGATTAACAAGGCCTATTATATGGAGGCTCATTTGTATATAAGTGTTTAACCATTTAAACTAACGATATTAGTGTTGCTGATTTAGAGGCTGTTTAGCTTTTCTGTCTTTATTTTTTTTGTGTGGAAACATGCTATATATAAATGGAAGCTTTTCCAGAGGAACTATTTTGTTTTTCTTTAAGTTTATTTCAGAAATTGTGCTTGTGTTAGTCTGACTCTCGCATGCTGCCTCGGCTTCATATCAGCCAACACAATGTGCCGTGTTCATCTTAGTCGCGCCGTCTCCATGGATTCACTTTAATCCTCAGAAAATCCTCAGCCTGTATACCATACAGCTCTGCTTTCAGCTGCTCCTTTTGCATTTTTACACAAATTGCATCTTTCTCTCTGCGTATGCATTTCTGCAGGACTTTGGGGAGTACCAGGAGAGCTACTACTCAGTTCAGACCACTGAAGGGGAACAGATCTCTCAGCTCATTGCCGGCTATATTGATATCATCCTCAAAAAGGTAAGACACTTATCACTGGAGATGCCTAATCCTGATGATTTAGTTTTCTCCTGAGGGCTGCATGTTTTCAGCCTTGTGGACGATTGATAGAAGCCGCTTTGTCAAGCCCCTGTAGTTAAATGAAAAGTAGCAGAGGTAGGCTGGCATCATGCAGTGTTGCTATAAAGTAGGAGCTCAGTGTAAATTTTTAAAGGGTAAAAAGTGTTTTTGTTTTTTTTTTTTATCCTAGTATGTACATCTAGATAACTGAATGTGTATTAGAGACGTTTGGGAGGCATCTTTAAGATCTTGTTTCATCTCCTGATTTATTGTTCTATCAAATAAACCGAACTCAGCTAAGCTTCAATCTGATTTCTTTTTCCTCTCTCCTGCAGAAGCAAAGCAAAGATCGTTTTGGATTAGAGGGTGATGAGGAGTCAACCATGCTAGAGGAATCGGTTTCCCCTAAAAAGTATGTAAATCAGACCTGCAAAAGTTTTGTTTTTTTCCAGCAATGAAGCATGAAGAACTCTAGCAGCTTAGTTTGTCCTATGAGAATTTAGACAAATGATGATCTTCCATTTGCATTATTTCATTAAACCGTTATATCTCAGTCTTAAAAGGGACATTATGATTATATTAAGGAAATAAACAGCATTTAGAGCTATTTACACATCATTTAACAGCCTGCTAAAACAGCTTCATCATTTGTCTATTTTTTCGGACTAAACTTTGACTTAGGAACACATCCTTCTGTTAGATTAATTACACTTAGTTCTGTTTTAAGGTTAAACTGTTTTTCTGCTTGTTTTTGCCTGATCATTTTAAATAAATAATTTTCAATCTGTGCTGATACTAAAGGCAAGTATCTGTAATACTACAGCAGCATTGCACACCCAGCTTTGCAAGTCTGTTCTCCTACAAGACAAACAGGCCTGTGTTTGCTGAAGGTGGAAGGATTTTGCCTTGTCGGGCTGTATTGCTTTGAGGTCTTATGTTGGTCTTTTATTGCTAATATGCAAAATCCATTCTCGCTCAGTGTAATTGTAAAGGTGTAGTTAAAAAATAATCTAGTGCAGTAATCACTTTCATATTTCCATCTCTTTTGACGGCTTGCGTCTTCCAGAAAACGTATCAGGGAAAATGTTTCACATCACATGAACTTATCCATCAGCTTTGCAATCAGCTTTACTGGCAAGGATTTTCTGCAAAAACAAGAAATTCAGCTTTGGTTTTAACACATAGTGGAAAATAAATTAATTCATAGTTCGATACTTAAAAATGAGTTTTTGGTTATGGTGTAAATTTTTAAGGAATCCAACAAGTATACTTTTGTTTTTCACTTAAATACTTTGCTAACATCAACCTAAAGTATCATATATGCTGAATGGGCATAGATTAAGCGCTGATGGTGAGTCTGTTTTCCTCTTTTAGATCTACGATACTTCAGCAGCAGTTTAACCGTGTGGGCCAAGTGAACCAAAGCTCTGTTGCTCTGCCGGGGGTCATCCGCTCTGGCTCTATTGGCACAGAGTCGCTCAGCATGGGCACCATGCCGTCCCCTCAGCAGCAGATCACCATGGGTCAAATGCACCGTGGCCACATGCCGCCGCTGGTATGAAACTAGTGAATGATTGTTGCACTATGTCTAAGCAGATTTTCCTGGCCATTATTATTCATCTCTTATTTATTCTTTGCAGAGTTCAGCGCAGCAGGCTTTGATGGGAACCATCAACACCAGCATGCAGGCTGTTCAAAAGGCCCAGATAGATCTGGGAGAGGTTGACGACCTTCCACCTATTGGGCAGGACATGGTAGAGTGACTGTCTTACACGTATACTTACTCTAAGTGCTGGATTTCAGCAAGCATGAAGTGTTAAAACCTGATAAATGTTATTATGTGCAAATAATGTCTGTTTTCTAATCAACATTTAGGCATCAAAGGTGTGGATCCAGAACAAGATGGATGAATCCAAACATGAGATCCACTCGCAGGTTGATGCCATCACTGCAGGAACGGCGTCTGTTGTGAACCTCACAGCTGGTCAGTGATCCCTGAGTCAACATAATATAACCTTTTCAGCAGTTTTTCACTATATTCGAGTCAAAAAGTGCCTTGAAAAAACTTGAAATGTGATGAGGCTCAACCCACATTTTTACAAGAGCATTTGATGCATGGTGTGCTGAGCAGTTAAAATGATTTGGCCAGTTTCTTTGTGTAAAGCAGAACTTTTCCGTCAGCCTGCTGTTCATTAGAAGCCGTGTAAAATCTAATAGTTCCCTCATATACTTCTGTGGTTTGGAGAATGTGCTCTTTACAGCTTGCAAAACACCCCCTCTTTGCAATGTCTTCACTTTTTCTCCCCATATCTTTTGTCGATTACAAAGCGATTTAAACTTTCCAGAAGCAAATGATTTTGCACTCCAAACTACTTTAGATTTTCCTAATGTCTTTCCTTATTTCCTCCCAGGTGATCCCACTGACACGGACTACACAGCAGTGGGCTGCGCCATCACCACCATTTCCTCCAACCTGACCGAAATGTCAAAGGGTGTGAAGCTGCTGGCGGCGCTGATGGAGGACGACATGGGAGGAGGTAACGACCTGATGAAGGCTGCCAGGACGCTAGCAGGAGCCGTGTCCGACCTCCTTAAGGCTGTGGAGCCGACTTCTGGAGAGGTGGGAGAAGACTCCTTTCCGCTTTTCAGGCTTAGATTCAGCCCATCCTATCTCATACTTAAACTGTTGTTTATCTACTTTTATTAAAACACATTGTTAAAGTAAAACCGATAGATTACATGTAGAAAAGATTTGAATTTAAGCAGGAAAACAAATTCATCTGCTTATTTCAATCAGCTTGTTAAGAGAGGCTAATTAAATTTGTGGCTGAGCACCTGCATCCCAAGACAACTTGTCTTCCTAATAAATCTGTCTCTCCTGGTCCAAAACCAAACCCAATTATATATACATCCTCCTTTGTTTGCCTCCAGCCAACTGAAACCTCCTCGCAATCAAAATAAAGATGCTTAACTCTGTATAATTGTTTATTGTAAAGGTGGTTTATGGATAATGGAGGAAGACTGTGCTTGATTGCAAATATAGTCAGTTAAAATAGTTTCTTAAATATGAGTATTCAATCAAAGCATAGTGGAACAGATTTAAATGCAGCTCCTGATTGATTTGTTTACGCTTTAGCCCAGACAGACAGTGCTGACGGCTGCAGGCAGCATTGGCCAGGCCAGCGGAGACCTACTGAGACAGATCGGAGAGAACGAGACGGACGAGAGGTTCCAGGTAACGGATCGGCTCACAATTTAACATTGTGTATAAAATGTATTATAACTAATTGTTTTGTTATTTATCAAGGTCACTCAGTTGTAATGGGACATGAAAAATCAGTAAAAAATATTGTGCCAATATAGGTTTTAATTTTTTTTTTTTTTTTTGTGATATATTTGTACAAATTTTCATGTAGCACAGATATATTCGGATGTAAACATAAACCTTTGGCTATATATATATATATATATATATATATATATATATATATATATATATATATATATATATATATATATATATATATAATGACATCTCTTCTGTTCACCTGTGTTTATAGGATGTTCTGATGAATTTGGCCAAAGCAGTCGCCAATGCTGCAGCCATGTTGGTGCTGAAGGCCAAGAACGTGGCTCAGGTTGCAGAGGACACCGTCCTGCAGAATCGGGTCATTGCTGCAGCTACCCAGTGCGCCCTTTCCACCTCCCAACTTGTGGCATGTGCAAAGGTACATGGACATGTGCAAATTATAAATATGTACATTTTAAAAATGGATAACTCTTTTCATTATGCATATTGATTTCACTCTGGATTCCTGTGAAGATTTTAGGGGATCAACTTGATCAATTTTGTATAAAGGTTGAATTCCCAGGCATGTGTGTGTGAATAAAACAATTCATGACGCACAGGCTATAACTCAAGGCTTTAAAATTGGTCTAAGAAGAAAAAGGAATGGGCCTTTTCTACATTAGAAGTTACCTATGGTTTTGAAAGGAGGATGGGAAACACCGAACCAAACAATGCAGACTGACTGACATCAATCTGTGCTTCTTTAACACCTCCAGACAGCCACAGGCTGATCACCTTCAATGCACCCTAAAGGGCTGGTTATACTCCTGCAGCAGTGTGTCGCAGTGAGCTTAACGCAGACATTTTTTTATTTATGCCCAGTATTGAAGCATGGTATGCGCTATACGCTGTGGGTCTAGATGGGGAAGGGCGGTGAGGAAGTTGGGGCGAGTTTGTCCAACAAAGGAGGGAAAAGACTGCAAAAAATAGCTGGGATTCAGGTGAAAAAAGGGTCCCAGCATTCTTGAACACCTCGCTTTTTTAGCTGGTCCAACTTCAAGAGTTGTTTTTCGCAATTTCGGTCATAGAAACAAAACAAATCGACCTCCTGTCTGCGGTCACCTACAATTTCGAACAGTGTCTGCGGATGGGGCGGGCAGTCGGATGTCTTTTTATTCACTGCGACACGTACGCAGACGACTTAGTTTCGAAGTATAAATCAGCCTTAAGGTGATGTGATAACTGACCAACTATAAAGTGCAATTACTGTGTAATAAATGCACATATATTCTGCAAGTCAAAATTTTTATTACAATCGTTTTTAAATTAAATGAAAGGTTTTCTATCTGAAATCAAGAGGAATTGGCACAATACACGTATAATAACTCTAAAGCTAAGGAATCATATTAAATGAGTTTCACCTCTTGGATGAATTATTGTTTCAAATTAACTGAGAAGTACCTGCCTGCCAACATTACATCATATTTATAAGCAAACTCATTTAAGTTGGTAAATGAACATTTTGAGTAATAAAAATCTCTCCTAATTAACTGTTGGTGAATATAAGATGGTGCTCCATTGTGCTCTTAAACACTGTGTTAGCACTAATCATTTTGCTCATCACTAATGGTAAAACCCTTATCCACATGATTACCTTAAATGTTCTGCGGTCTCTCAGTCTGAACAGTTTCATTTATCAGCAGCAGTGTACTGAGATCATCTGCTGAATGCCCTCAAATCCTAGTTTCTTTCTGGACTGTTGTTTTGTTTTGGTCTAAGCTGAATAAAGAAGTTCTTCAGGATCAGAATTGGTCGACTGTTTAAACAACGTTAAAAAGAGGAGTTAAGATGTTTTGAATGGAGAAAAGTTTCCCACTAAGTGATAATTATTTGTCCACTGCTGGTGACAGATGTTGAATATTACCTTATTAACTGTTTCAGGTGGTGAGTCCGACCATCAGCTCCCCAGTTTGCCAGGAGCAGTTGATCGAAGCGGGAAAGCTGGTGGACCGCTCTGTGGAGAGCTGTGTGCAGGCCTGCCTCTCAGCCACAGAGGATGGAGAACTCCTCAAACAGGTTAGCTTCTGAACGTGGAAAAAAACAACCTAAACAAATCTGAACCTGGCCTTGTTTTAAGGGATTATTCTGAGCACTGACCAAACAGACGGTGAAATAAGCTAAATTGCTTAAAAATCTGACACTTTTTGTATTATAGGTGAGCGCAGCAGCAGGGGTTGTGAGTCAGGCCCTGGCAGACCTTCTGCAGCATGTCCGTCAGTACACCGCCAGGGGAGAGCCAATCGGGCGCTACGACCAGGCTACAGACACCATCATGACCGTCACTGAGAGCATATTCAGTTCCATGGGAGATGCAGGTTGGTCCAAAACAGACATTCCCAGTAACAACATCTCACAGAGCATGAAAATAAAGATTTATTGACTGAACATGTATAATTAATATGGAACATAGAACTATAGATTTCCTCTTAGTCTTTTTTTTTTTATTACATAAGTCCATAAAATGAAGCTGAAATGTTTAGGATGTTTGTTGGAAAACTAGCCACACCTTAGTTCATACCTTCTATAAAAAAAACACTTTGATCAGTCTCTCAAAAAAGGTGTTTCATTTTTTTCTCCACCATCTGTTTGCAGTGTTGTTCTGTTGTTTGCAGCTCTTGCTGAGCTTTAGTTGTCAGGCGGATGGCCTCACAATTGGCTCCATATTTCTTTGATATGCAGAGAAGATAAAGATTTTTTCATTGACTGTTGATCACACGGTTTCTAGACCACTCCTGCCCAAATTGACCTATGAAGGCCTCTGTCCTGCAGGTTTTAGAGGTTTCCCTGCTTTAGCACAGCTGATTTCCATTGATAGCTGGCTGTTAACAAACTGCAATCATCAGAGTCGGGGTTACAGGAAAGATCTGTGTTTACACCTTTAAGCTTTCTCACCCTGATTCTTTCCTGAGAAGAGATCAATTGGGACAAACTAAATAACTTCATAATGTATATGTATTATATAATCATGAGACATGACAAAAGATTTTGACAGAAACTGCAATCTTACTCAGACCAGAGAAGTTATTTTTAGGCAACGCTTATCAACAGGGCTCACATCCCTTTGAAGTGGCCCAGAATCACAGTTAAAGAAGCATTTTATTCAACCCCAGTTTGCCACATCATTACATCATACATGTTTGTAAATGAGGAGACATCCATCGCTCCAGCCACATCAAAATATTACACTATGTTCTTAGGTCAAGGACAATTTCCCAAATTTTTGCAACATGCATAAGATGACTTTTTATCCTGTAAGAGGAACTATCCTAAGTAAATAAAATAATAGGGAAAACATTTGTTTAGACATGCAGCAGGCAGGTATTATTAGGGTTTAATATATCATCAATGAAAATAACCCTCACAGCAGTCTAAACAGCTTCAAACAAATTATGCTAAAAAAAAAACATATCTATTATGTTCAAAAAAGATCACTGCAATAATCAATAAAAATTTGTAGGGTGATTGCCCTGCTAAAGGACTTGTTTTTTGTTTAATTTGTTACAAACTTGTTTTATTTCTTTATAACCAGACTCTTGGTGTTTTTTATTGAATTTTGATGATCACTTATATAAGTTGCAGTAAATTCGATCATATTCTTGCTATGAAAGAATACTGCAACTTCAAACACAAAACCTTTATTTTACTTGTCCCTTGTATCTTATGAATAAATTACATTTGATCCATAATGCAGAAAGATCTTCATTCATCTGCTTTAGCTGTAAGTTTTTTTGAATCTGTTTGTAAATGTTCTCCAGATAAATCAAGTTTCCCCACACAGGATTATCAGAACTCTCTGTAGTTTTTGAGTGATGCCTTGTTGTGGCTTTACTCCCATCCCAGTCCGTCTTCTCCTCAGCTTTATTGACACAGTGATGTGTTTGAAGTGACTGCTGTCAGCTGAAAGCACAGAGAAAAGCTGACAGTCATGTTAACAAGTCTGTTAGCAAAGAAAGACCAGAGGGAGGGAAGGAGAAGGACGAGGAATGTTGGCTTAGAGGTCAGCTTAGGCAAAAGGATCGACCCGATAAGAAGAGATTGAGATTGGTAGATTGAAACTGCCTCTTATGTCCCACCTTAAGGTAAAACAGGAAAGAATTAATAAAGAATTAATTAGGAATTAATCTCCATTTTAAACTGGTGCATATTGCCAAAATGATTAAAACGTGCTGCGATGATTGTGATATCCCTGTGCCTGATAGGTTGGTACAATCACCTGATCTAAACACCCAATCATTTAGAGCAGAGGGTTCCAAACCTTTCACCGTTTGATCCACGATATCCTAAAAGAAACAAACCCATACAAACATTTGATCAAAATGAATTAACCATGGGTGTAATACAGTGTTGTTTTTGACAGTCATCTTAGATTTAGTCTTGGTCTTCAGGATGAAAACTATTACTAGTCTTAGTCACATTTTAGTCATTACGATATGTGATAGTTTTAGTCAACTAAAACTTAAAAAGGTTTTAGTCTAGTTTTAGTCAGTTTAATGTTGCAAAAAAAAGTTAACCTTCACAATTTGGAATTACAGATTATTTGCCAGACTGACGGCTCTAGCCTAGATACTACAATAGCTGGGTATAGAATGCTGGCATGCAATTCATCATTGCTGTTGGTCAGAAAACTTTGATTTAAAGAATTCAAGTAAAAAAATTTTATGAATTAAAGCCATACTTTATACAAATAGGTCTCACAAAAGTTGTGAATATAGCAGATCTAGTTCAACACATCATATTGGTTAATATAGAAGACAGACAAGCTGACAAAATGCATGATAAAGGAATAGATTTAGACATAAAAGGTTTCCATCCCAAAGCAAACACTTACTGATCCACTATGAATTATGCATTACAGATAGATCAATAAAATCTTTATTACTCCAAAAAAGCAAATAACAATAACATTCTTCTTTCTACTTTGCCAAGTTTGGCTTTATTTCTGAGAATATGCCCCATGGTTACCACTCAGGGGTCAAAGTAGATTTAAATTCACAGGGCTTTGATATAAAAAAAAAAGAATAAATACAGAGAGAACCTACATAATTGCCTTGTAATGTAATGGCAATCCAGACCTAAATTGAATGAATATGTTGAATAAAATGTTGAAATATTTAAAGGAAACAGAAAATGCTTTAATCACACTATAAGGAGAAAAATATTTTAAGATCTATGTACCGTTTCACTTGGCTCTTTATCCAAAAATAAACAGTATGCAATGAAATATTTTCTTTTGATTTAATTTAGGGTTTCCTTAAATAAAATATTGATAAATTAGAGCAAAGGATTTTTTTTTCGCTTGGCAGAGGATGATCAGCCACAAGGTTTATTAAGTAGCGAGAGCAGGAAGAGCCATACTGCTGAGAGCGAACCATCAGTATGGAACATAAAGCGTAGACTCTGAGCTACGCGTGTGCAAAGAAGCATTCCTGCAAAAGCACAAATGGAAGATCAGTTTATCAGAGTTCAGTGCAGAGTACAGGACAATTCCGGGTTATTTTCTCAGACCCTGCTTGTCTTGCCATGATCCATCTGCGGTCATGCAGAATGTTCACCGCCTCACACAAGGTGGTGCTGTGTGACGAAACAATATGCAGCAGCATGGCTGATAATGCTTAACTTGTCTTACAGATTATACCACAATGATGCATTTTAAATGTCTGACCAACGACCCGCTAGCTTTTTTTTGGTCTCGTTGACGAAAACTCAAACATATGACTAGTCACGTTTTAGTCATCAAAGATCCATGTTTAGCTCACCAGTTTTCGTTATGGTCATGAAAACAAAGTAGCGTCAATGAAAGAAGTGTTGTTTTTGAAAACAACACTGTTGTAATACTGTTATAAACAGCATCTGGTCTTATGCTTATTGAAATAATATGATTATCTCTTTAAGCACTTTGACATGAACCTGGTTGATCATGGACCCCAGTTGGGATCACAATGCCAACTTTGGGAATCAATGCTATAGAGAATCAGTTTGGATTGTCAGGATTAGGAGAGACCATCAATAGATGAAAGCTGAATGCTGCTATTACTGCGCTCTGGGCCTCCTTTAAACCTCAGCAGAGCATCAGGCAGTGAGCCCATGAATTGAGGGCATATATAGTACAATACATACTATACTGTAATTCATTGTTTATTGTGTAATTTCCTTGTATTTTGAGAAACTATGCTTTTTTTATTATCTGTGTGAGCTATCATTATTAAAATTCTGATAAGTTAGGTATATGTCTATCAGTTTCACTCATTCAAATGTGAAGGATTTGCTCTCTGTTAGATTGAAATGAATATCAATAATTGCCTTTTTTTCCAAAAACAAATACCTGCATATTTAATTATATAGTCCTGTTAGATGTGGCTGATAGAGGAGACAATATGACCACTGACTGAAGCAGCAAGGTGTTTTTATAAACTCTGTTTGACAGTCGGTCAGCTTATATTGTAACCTGTGCTGGTGGTTGGTTGCAGTCAGCTATTTGTAATGTCACAGCTTTTTAAATTGTGAGAAGACATTAAAAGGTGAGGATAGAAAAAAAAGAGCCATATGAAATTGAGTCCTTTGAAATGGAAAGAATTTGAGTCTAGAAAACTTGATTTAGCTTCAGAAAAGCTGAATTTACCCCATCATTAAACGCATGGATTGTAGATTTTCTGTGGTTATCGTGAGTCTTCTCTGTGTCGCCGTGCAGGAGAGATGGTACGGCAGGCTCGAGTTTTGGCTCAGGCCACCTCTGACCTGGTGAACGCCATGAGGTCCGACGCCGAGGTCGAGGTAGACGTGGATAACTCCAAAAAGCTGCTGGCAGCTGCCAAGCTGCTGGCAGACGCTACTGCAAGGATGGTGGAGGCAGCGAAGGTGAGCAGATTGAGAGACGGACCAATCTCACAATGATGTCTCATTTATAGTAGTAAGTGGAGATCTGAGGCTGTAGCTACAAACTATGTGTAACTTTAAAAAGAAGAAATAATGGCAAAGAAAAATGTTTAATATTCTATAAGCTAAGAGATTATTAGTATTGAGACATCTCAACACTTCTTTAGAAATGTTTTCCTAGGTTTTCTTTAGGTTTTTAAGCAATATTTTTAGAGTTTTAGATTTAGTTAAAGCGAGCTTAGCCTGTAATAGGATGATGACATCTGTAGCCTTTTTTATAACCAGGAAAGGAACTGAGCTCTGCTTCTCTGGTGACCTTTCTTTATGACAGCAGAGAGGAAGACTCAGAGCAAAGAGCCACAACAATAATGTGTGCTGTTGAAAAACAGGACTTAGAATGACATATAGGAGGTGAATTCTGCCTTGTCCTATTGGTGTCTTCTCCCTTTCTTGTTAAAAGATGACATTTATAGCAACAAGGTTCAAAAACCAAACGCTGCACAAGCTGTTATTAAAGGGTCCTCATTCAGTCTTTAAAAAAAAACATGTAGAAATTGCTATATTTTTTTCAGGGCTTGATGAATACATGCAAAAAATCTGGAAATCTTTTATTTACTTTACTAAAAGATAGACGCCTTGTGACATTGATAAATGCAGCACTTACCTCATTGATATACATTAATATAACATTCTTTGATTTCAACTCATCGACTGGATGTGCACTTATGTAAAAACCAACTGTTTTCCTACTAGTTGGTCTCTAGACGACGGTTTTCATATTGACTGGACCTGTGCTTATTAAACTGTATCTGAAATGAGAGCATCACTAAAGTGTTTTATTTTTATTTTAAAGATTCAATATATAAAAGTTTACAAACGATACTCTAAAGAAAAGAAAACTGCTCTGGATCTTATAAACTACATTCATAATTGACAAATCCAGAACTCATAAAAGCTCATAAAAGAGCTGTTCTAAGTTAGATGAGATGCCATTAAAGTAGTTTAATGGTCCAATGCAAAATAGGAAAACTAAGGTCCTGTGGTTTTACTTATTGTTGAGCATGCTGTTAATAGAACCTCACTGCTGTTAAAGTAGAATAGTATAGAAATATCTGTTATTCGCCCAAAGTGGAGAAATCCAGGTGTTTCAGCAGTAAGTATGGAAAAAGATGCCAAAAGGAACAAAACTATACTGTTTCTAAAACTGGCACACTGTGATCAAATTACATTTGCTGCTGATTGTCAACATTTGAAAACAGTGAAACAATTATTCAACAATTGTAAGAGGTTATTTACAATAATAAAGTGAATGAAATTAATAAGGAAATTAAACCTATGAAAGTATATACTGTCCTTGGGCATTTACGTATTTTTCTTCCAAAGTGTTTTATATTTAGTATATTCTATGGCTGCTTTTTATATTTTCTACAAAGTTTTTTTTAATATTTATCATATATTCTGTGTACCTTCTAAACCCAGAACTACTAAATTACATTAGGGTTTCCTAGAAGCAGTAAATGTTTCAATATTGATTTTCATGGATGATTATAATTAAAACATAGGAACTAATGAACCAATGAAAATGTGACAATATAATAAATTATTATTGCATTTTATAGTATTTTTTTTTAACAAATTCCCTCTAATTTCATGTATTTTTTGTTTCCTAATACATACATTTTCCATATAAAAACATTTCATTCCTTCCTTTTTTTTTTTTTGGAACAGTTGGTTTAAAGTAGAATAAAAACCGTTTCCTTTATAGACCGCTCATGAACAGTCTCTCCCACCCCTCCATCCCTCTGCTCTCTCTGCACATCAGTCTTGTAATCTGTCTGCAGGATCACACACTGATGTTAATAATGCTCCTCTTCCTCAGTGGAAATGAAATGATGCCCTCCAGCTGGTTAGCAGAGTTTGGTGCCAGATTTCTCACAATCACAGCTGTATATTTAGCTTTCAACGGGGGCCGAAGCCAGACGCTGATTTGCCAACTAATTATTCATTTCATTCACCTCATTAATTTCTCTGTGGTGGCTTTTAAATATCATGTCAGGTTATGATATATTTTCTTTGCTATTAAACCGTATAGGTTTTTCTCTCAAATGCTGGATAGATTTTAATCTTTTTTTTTCTATGTGAAATGATATAAAACACTGAAATGTTGTTGTATGGAGTGGGATAGAAATTCCCCTAATTATGACTTCTTCGTTTTTAAGCCATGTGCTCAGTTATTAATTTAAAAGCTGCATTTTATTTCTACAACAACAGGAAGTGTTCTAAGTTATTTTTGCACAAACCTGGCCCCTTAGAGGAAAAGGCATGGAGTTCTAAGTTAATATATTAAAAAACAAATTACAAAATTTAAACAGCGACAGAGATATTACTATAAATAACTTAATGAAAGAATGATAGATATAGAAAAGCTGGCTTACTAAACTGATGCCCATATGTTTTACAGTATATCAACTAAATACCTGGTTGGAGACGTTTGTTTTTTTTTTTAGCTTAAACTTAACCCATGAATGGATCAAGTTTTGTTTTTTATTAACATATAAAGACTGTTATCCCTATTGATTTTGCATCTTTTTCTTCCTTTTAACTTTTTAAATGATATACGTGCATGCAGCACTCAGGTTATCACTCTTCCCTATGATTAATATAGCATTACTTTTTTGCATTAAAAATGCATCCTATATTGGCCTTATTTAATATCCAATTTGCAGAGAAACTGAAATAAGGCTTTTCTTTAGCGGTACTATTGGATACACAGAAATTCATGCTTCAGTGGATCAGATCTGACCATAAAGGATCCATTTTAAGGCTCCACTTACCTTTGTTAAATACTGAAATGACTTTTAACTTTATAGTGATCTAATTCCCTGAGATACACCTTTATGTGATGATGTGTTTGCTGTCAGGGTGCAGCAGCGTACCCAGAGAATGAGGACCAGCAGCAGAGGCTGAGGGAGGCTGCTGAGGGGCTCCGCGTAGCCACCAACGCTGCGGCACAGAACGCCATTAAGAAGAAACTCATCAACAGACTGGAGGTCAGAAACTCTAAATCACTTTTACTGAAATATTTTAGCAGTTGTTTTTCTCTGTCCTTAGATTGTGTAATCTGTATGTGCATGTGCCCATAAATCCTGTTTAAGAATTAAAGATACATAAATGTGCTTCTTAAGACAAAAGGAAGAAGAAATGTGGAGTCTGTAATTTTTCCCCCCACAGCTTATATTCCAGTAAAAAAATTTCACTTTTTTTTTATTTTATTCAAAGTTAATCAGTTACATTTTCCTAGAGCTTCACACTGCATGATTAGTGACGAAGCTGTGAAATTGTAGTGTTAATAAAAAGAGGTGCAGCTCCAGATGTCAACTTTCTGATTGTATATTCCATATTTACATTCGTTTGAACTTCACAGAACGCCGCCAAGCAGGCTGCAGCAGCCGCTACGCAAACCATCGCCGCCGCTCAGAACGCTGCCGCCTCTAACAAGAACACAGCGGCTCACCAGCAGCTGGTGCAGAGCTGTAAGGTGGGGGTTAGCACAGAGACACAAGTGCCTCTTTAAGTCTCATTTAATAAGTCACCTTTTTTGTCTTTAGTTGATTTTTGATTTATCTGTAAATTACCTGCTTGATGATTTACAAAGTTGTTTATTCAGACATTATTGTGGGTTTTCATTTTGATTCTGGTTTGGCTGCAGGCTGTTGCAGACCACATCCCACAGCTCGTCCAAGGAGTACGAGGCAGCCAGGCCAAACCAGAGGACCTGAGCGCACAACTGGCCCTCATCATATCCAGCCAGAACTTCCTGCAGGTAAAGCGTGTTTATAGTGTCTTTAGGTCTTATTTTAGCTGCACAAAGACCTCTTAAAATTTCATATCCCCAAACTCTTCCCAAAATAACTCCAGTCCTACATTGGGAACCAGGCTGAAATTATAAATAGTGGTTCTGTCATGGGAGGACCCATTAAAGTAGGCCTGTAACCTATTTTTGCTAAAAGAAATATTAACAGTATGAAGTAAAACATTTAAAACTAAAATGATCAGACTTGCAAAACCATTTCATTTCAGCAAAAAGACATTTTCAGTGAGAATTAGTTAAGAATTGTTCAAATAGATGTTCTTTTCATCCTGCAGCCTGGTAGTAAGATGGTGACCTCGGCCAAGTCGTCTGTGCCCACAGTGACCGATCAAGCAGCAGCTATGCAACTGGGTCAGTGTGCCAAGAACCTGGCCACCTGCCTGGCTGAGCTGAGGACATCAGCACAGAAGGTAGAGCACAAGGAAATTTGCATTCATTCATGCCAGGTGTTCTACATGCCAGCGCAACAATTTATAAGAGAAAAGGCTCTGTTCATATTTATTTTTCATATGGACTATTTATTTACTTTTTGAAGTTCTTACATCCTCTGTAATTTGATAGTAAGATGAATGGAAGATTTTCTGAGTAGCTTCCCACATTTCCTGAAAACTATATCTTGACTTAAAGGCTGTAAATCTGAAGGCTGAATTTGACCTTTTAGGCTCATGAAGCCTGCGGCCCCATGGAGATCGACTCTGCGCTCACTGCAGTCCAGACCCTAAGAACCGAGCTGCAAGATGCAAAGCTGGCAGCAGTAAACACCCAACTCAAACCTCTGCCTGGAGAATCGGTGCGAGAACTTCTAGATTCAAAAAAGATTATTTGGAAAGTCAGATAGGCTAAATTCTTGGCGTTTCCACCTTATTCTTTGTTTTAGTTGGAGAAATGCGCTCAGGATCTGGGCAGCACCTCAAAGGCAGTAGGATCCTCCATGGCTCAGCTGCTTACATGTGCAGCTCAAGGAAATGAACACTACACTGGTTGGTTCTGCAAAATTTTAAATAGGCTTTAAGTCAGAATGTTAAAGGGAAAAAGTTCAAAAGTAACCCTAACCTTGGTGTTGTCGTGTGAACCTTTTCCCAGGAGTAGCTGCCAGAGAGACAGCCCAGGCCTTGAAGACCCTCGCCCAAGCAGCCCGTGGCGTTGCTGCTTCCACATCGGACCCCAAGGCTGCGGCTGCCATGCTGGACTCGGCCCGAGACGTCATGGAGGGCTCAGCGCTTCTGATCCATGAGGCCAAGCAGGCATTGATTTCTGATGGAAGCGCTGAAAGCCAGCAGAGGCTGGCACAGGTGAGGGAGTAGAAGAGGAAGGAAGACGATCTAAATTAAAGAATATATTGTATTCAAACTATTAAACATCTTTATTTCCAATAAACTTTATGCCTCCAAATGTTTAAGGAATGAATAATCCTACAGGTTTATAAGATTTCCCTGGCTCTGGTCTGTGTCTGAGTCATCATGAGCAGATTTTCAGCCAAGCCAGTCACCTCCTCTGACCTTTGTAAAACCCTGTGTGTTGTGATCTTGCTGTGGATGATTCCAGGTGGCCAAAGCCGTGTCTCATTCCCTGAATAACTGCGTCAACTGTCTGCCTGGCCAGAAGGATGTCGACATGGCTCTGAAGAGCATCGGCGAGGCCAGTAAGAAACTGCTGATTGAAACTGTAAGTCAAACATCACTTTTTTCTGTGTTTAAAATGGTTTTATATGCAGATGTTTTTATTAATTGCCTGTGCTGTTTGATTTAACAAACTGTGAATAATGTCTCCCCTGCTTGCCTTGTTCAGATCCCTCCAGCCTCGAAGTCGTTTCAGGAAGCCCAGAATGATCTGACTCAGACCGCAGCAGACCTGAACCAGTCGGCAGGCGATGTGGTCCACGCCTCCAGGAGCTCAAGCAACCAGCTGGCCTCAGCCTCTGGAAAGTTCAGTCAGGACTTTGACGAGTTTCTGGATGCTGGCATAGAAATGGCTGGGCACACGCAGGTAGGATTGCTGGAAAATCAGCAAGGTAAACCTTTTGAAAAAAAAAAAAAACATTTAATTTCCTATTGTGTCATCTGTGTTATGGTGTGATTTCAGAAGAAGGATGATCAAGTGCAAGTGATTGGTAACCTGAAAAACATCTCCATGGCATCCAGTAAACTGCTGCTGGCTGCTAAAAGTCTGTCAGTGGACCCGGCAGCTGCAAACGCCAAAAACCTCCTCGCTGCTGCAGCAAGGTAAAACAGCCAGACACATACGGTGCTTTGCAAAAGCATTTTAAAAATGTTTTGCATTAAAGTGCAACAAGCACTGTATTCAGCCAATCGGTGTAAATACTTTGTAGAACCTTTTTTCCAGCAGTTATGGTGCCACGTGTTTTGTTAGAGGTCTTTTCTATTTTCCCTTCTTAAGAGATTAGATTAGACAAACCCCCCTTGTCTCCTATTAGTGTCCACTACGTGACTATTGCAAAACTGCCAAACTCATTATTTGGTTGCTTTTTAAAAAATCCTTAATCTTGTAACACTTCCAAAAGTGTCAGGTTTTATGGAGTCCTCCGTTGATAGACTGTCAAACCGATTCTCTCTTCTATGCTTTAAACATCTGCTGATTCTCCAGGTTTACCATAAACCTCTTGGCTGCCACTTTGATTAATGTACAGCCTTATCTTGGAAGGTTTGTAGCCCAGGTTCTCCTCTTTATCAGATAACCGATTGAACAACGCAGTTCAAACCGTTCATAGGTTGGGATAATGTTTAATAGCCTAATTCTTCTTTCAACTTGGTTTCAACTTTTTCTCAAAGCTGTCCCATATGTTCTCTAACAATCTTCTGTCACCTTCAAGAAACATCTGGATGAATGATGTTTTTTTTTAAACATTTAACAGTTTATTAGTACTTTTCACAGTTGGTTACATACACAATATACATTAACACTTCACATTCAACATAACATAAAACCTTTGCTTGGGAGCTATTTCTCTATTTCACCTTTGTTCCATCTAGTTTATCTAGTTCTTTATTTTTTGTCGCTGTGTTTTGTCTTGAATGTTGTCCATTTCATCCACTTTTCATCCCACGATGCTTTGCGAGGAGAACTGTCCTCACAAAGCATCATGGGATACATCTGCTTGTCTAGTGACAATGGATGATCACTACTTTTCAAGGTGCATTATGGGAAATTTCGAGTCCACTACTTTTTCATCCACTAGATGTTCAGACACTCATTTAAAATGGCATAACCACTTTATAGTGCCCTATATAGTGATTAGTGCGGACGTTTGGACATAGCCTTGGTCACAAAAAAAGAAACTGTTTACATTTCCCTCTAATTCACAATTATGCTCTCCTGTGTGCTGACCTTTTGCATAAAACCCTCCACCCAGAGAAAAAAGGCTTGTTGTTGGACTGAGAAAATTTTTTTCATGTTTTTATTAAGTTGCTTTTATTTGAAAATTAACAAAGATGATGGAGGAAGTGTGAAGATGCTCTTCAGTCATAGGAAGTAAAGGTCACTGCACTGCAAGTAAATCAGAAAATTACAGCTCTAAAGAGCATAATAATCTAGTTTCACAAACAAAATAAAATAAACCTTTAATCTGCTTTAAAAACAGCATTTGTATTTTTTGCACCAACAGTGCGATGAGCTTCTGCATGAACATATTTTATGGATGTGTTCACACTACATGCAAACAAACAGCGTGTTTCTGTGATCCTGTTGTGTTTCAGGGCTGTGACAGACAGCATCAACCAGCTGATCACGCTGTGCACTCAGCAGGCACCTGGCCAAAAGGAGTGTGACAACGCCCTCAGAGAGTTGGAGGTAGATCTAACTTAGGTTCTTAATAGTTTGTATTTCCCTCTAATGTAGAAATGTGAGCCTCTCATTCTCTGCTGCTGATTCGTCTATCAGGCTGTCAGAGGAATGCTGGACAACCCTAGCGAACCAGTCAGTGACCTGTCTTACTTTGACTGCATTGAGAGTGTGATGGAGAACTCCAAGGTAGGCCTTCAGATCCAGCAGCTTGATCACTGGCATCCTGAAGCTAAAACAGCCTCAATCACGGGTCTGTCTCCTGCTGGTGTCTGATCCAGGTCCTGGGAGAGTCCATGGCGGGCATTTCTCAGAACTGCAAGACTGGGGATGTGTCTGCATTTGGAGACTGTGTTGGGTCAGCTTCCAAAGCCCTGTGTGGCCTCACTGAAGCTGCAGCACAGGTACAGTGAAGGTAGAGAAGCTGCTGCTTGTATGAAGGTGTTTGTGATTAATGCCTGTGTTTGGTTTTCTCAGGCCTCCTACCTGGTGGGCGTGTCGGATCCCAACAGTCAGGCAGGCCACCAGGGCTTGGTGGATCCCATCCAGTTTGCCCGGGCCAACCAGGCTATCCAGATGGCCTGTCAGAACCTAGTGGACCCTCAAAGCAGCCCTTCCCAGGTGCACAAATATTCATTTGCACAGCAAAATATCCAGAAAATCTTTCAATAGGAGCTTTTTTCTAGCATTGTTTTTTTTTCTAAATTCTTCTCTTGGTCTAGGTTTAGAATAGTTTGATTTAAAAACATGCTGCTTTGTTTTACATCCCAGTGAATCATACTTGTTTTGTACTTGTGAAGAAATGCTGATAAAAGTTGTCTAAGTTATTTTTTCTGCTAACCTTTTCCTGGCTATCCTACAGAATTATAGGCCTAATATTGGTACTTACTTCATTATCACCTGAATTGTATCTGTTATCTACCAGAGTGCTCTTTCTTTCTCAGCTGGTCCAGAGCTTAAAGATGTTTTCTATAAAAGCAATTCTCTTCTCTTTGTTCTCTGCATTAATCTAGACAGGATTTTAGAATAAGCTTTTTGGTTGTGTCTCAGTGATTCGATTTGTTATCAATTGGGATTTTTTTTTCCCTCCGTCAGAATACTGCGGCTTTGGGAATAAAAACTATTTCAAGGTTAAACCCTCCATCACTTATTTATTGTTTTTCATTGTTTGTTATGGGACAGGTGTTGTCTGCAGCCACCATTGTTGCAAAGCACACCTCTGCATTGTGCAACGCCTGCCGTCTGGCTTCCTCCAAAACTACAAACCCTGTTGCTAAAAGGCACTTTGTGCAGTCTGCCAAGGAAGTGGCAAATACCACTGCCAACCTGGTCAAAACTATCAAGGTAGGAGAAAACTGGCCGTTCAAGCTGCGGCACTGATAAATAAACTCTTATCGTTGTGGGATCATTTACAGATAGACCACCGTGAGACGTTTCAGTTCAATGATTGATCCTTTTGCTCTGCATCTTTGGATCTGCAGGCTTTAGACGGTGATTTCTCAGAGGAGAACAGAGGCAGGTGTCGAGTCGCAACAGCTCCACTCATCGAAGCTGTGGAGAACCTGACCACATTCGCCTCCAACCCTGAGTTTGCCAGCGTCCCAGCCAAAATCAGCAAAGAGGTGCGGCTACGATAGAAGCTGGAGCTACAGTTTATGCCTTTGAAGTCTGCAATACAATTTTTTTTTCCTTCTATTAAGGGCTCTGAAGCCCAGCAGCCCATCCTTCAGTCGGCACGCTCCATGCTGGATAGCTCCACTCATCTGCTCAAAACGGCCCGATCTCTGGTCATCAACCCAAAGGACCCGCCCACTTGGTCCGTCCTGGCTGGTCATTCTCGCACTGTTTCCGACTCCATCAAGAGTCTCATTACAGCTATCCGGTTAGTAAAGAACAGAGGATTGAGATCTCATGCTTTGCTCATTTCTGTGCTGTGATATAGTTGTTCAAATTACTGGCAACTCTGACCTAAACTAAACCCTCAGTGCAACAACAAATCATTATGCTTGAATAATAAAAACAAATCCTCTTGATTCGTGATGAAGCTCCAGAGAAAACCAAATACTAAAGTCTGAGTTAACTGAATTTCCTGAACAACTTCATAAAACTTCAGTTTTAAAATAAATGCAAGTCATTAAAATAAATTCAAGTGAAATAAGTTACTTTATGCAATGAATCTTTAAATTAAAACAAGTAAAATTTTCAATTGTGTTCCAGTTTTTAAAGATGGTGAAGTTGGCTCATAACAGCGGACTTGACTCAGTTTTCTTCTCTAAGCAGGCCTGCATGATGACATTATTGCAGGTTTAATCTCCTCTTTCACAGCCGTTTGCTCCTGACCTTGTTTAGAACAACAGTGGTGCCCAGAGGGACCCGATCCCCAACAACAGATGGACTGAATTTCAGGACTTTAAGTTCTTCCCAGAACATCTGCAAATTAGCATTCAGGCGCAGCCGCCAGCTTAGCATCTCTTTTATTTCTGCTGCTCTTATCACAGACTTCCTCATGGACTGCAAATTCACCACTGGGACTTCGGCCCGTGCCTTTAATAGGACTCTGTGATCCTCCGTAAAACTGGAGAATATAAATGGGAAAGGACCTCTGTCCTGCAGAGGTCAACATCATAACTTTGTTCGTTCCATTAAGCACAAAGATTAGGTTTTTTTCTAGATTTCCTTGCAGCCCCACCACAGGAGCAAATTGATGCTTAACAGGCTTATTCTGCCTATGAGGGTAAAGCTAATTTGTCTGCACAGCTTGATTGTCTTGCACAAAGACAAAAACCCTAATTTCATCTCTAAGGGAAAATCTCAAAAGATATTTGAAATGAAACAGCTGCTCTCTTCAATCATTACATAACATTTTTTCTCTAAGTATTTGATTCCTTCATGTTTTTACCCTTTTTTCTTGTCTCATGTGCAGAGACAAGGCCCCCGGACAGCGGGAATGCGACTCCTCAATTGATAACATTAACAAATGTATCCGAGACATTGAGCAGGCCTCTCTGGCAGCCGTCAGCCAAAACTTACCAAGCAGAGACGACATCTCATTGGAGGTGAGCAGCTATCTGGTTCTTCTCGTAACGTTTTGATCCTATTAGATCCTTTTTCCTTGATGTTTGAAGCTAGAGAATCCCAGGAACTGTGTGTCTCCTCTTTGCATTTTGTTTTGATGACTTATTCACATGTATTTTTCATCCAGGCCCTGCAGGAACAGCTGACGTCCACTGTGCAGGAAATCGGACACTTAATTGACCCCGTTTCCACAGCTGCCAGAGGCGAGGCGTCCCAACTAGGACACAAGGTATGTAAGCACCAGTGTACTGGAATGATAGAGCAAAAAAGTGATGTGACTTTTAGAAAACATACGATGGGTGATGTGGCAGAATTAGAGAAAAATTTAGGCAAATTTTTCGAGAGATAGATCCAGTTTTCTCTGAAAACTGACCTGCTGACTAAGAGTTTGGTTGATTCTGAGGTCTATGATGAATCAGACAGAAATAAAAAGGAGGTGTTAGTTTTGAAGCCCAAACAAATTGCATAATTTCCCACCTTTATATCCTTTTTTTGCATTTATAGATCAAATATCTAGAATAATTTAGAAAGTGTATAGAAAGTAAAGTCTTTGTTCACATAGGCTGTCTATTTGGTGCACCTTTGCCATCAGGTGACCCAGTTGGCTGGTTACTTCGAACCTCTGATCAAGGCGTCCGTTGGCGTCACCTCCAAACTCAGTGACCACCAGCAGCAGATGACTTTTCTTGACCAAACAAAGACCCTGGCTGAGTCTGCTTTGCAGATGCTTTATGCTGCTAAGGAGGGTGGAGGAAATCCAAAGGCAGGAACATTATTTTTTTTAGTGCTTTATTTCATGCTTTGTTTAAACTGTTTCTTCCGATCTGTGATGATCCAGGAGGTCTAGAGGAGGACATTTAACCATTTCTGTCTGTGCTTGCGTCAAACCTTCGTAGGCGTCACATACCCACGATGCTATAGCGGAAGCAGCTCAGCTCATGAAGGAGGCGGTGGATGACATGATGGTGACGCTGAACGAGGCTGCCAGTGAGGTGGGCATGGTGGGAGGAATGGTGGAGTCGATCGCTGAGGCAATGGCAAAGGTGAGAACGGTTTTAAGAGCTCCACAATGGATTATTTAAACACCCTCATTCTTCTGTTTCATTCCATACACACCCATTCAATGATTTAAGCCACACAGACTTTAAAAGCAACACAAAGAAAAACATAATTGGGGGAAAATTGCGTAGTTTGCACTTCTTTACACATAAAAACACAGTTTGTTTAACTAATGATCAGCGCTTCATTTGGAAATGCTTTATAGAACTACCTTATGCTTCTACTGCAGTTTTCTGCAATCTGTCTGCTGTCTTTGCAGATCTAGTGTGTTGTTGGGTTGTTGCATTCAGTTTTAAGCATCAAGTGTCTCATCAAATGATTCTACACTGCTCCATTTTTATTCTATTAAAAGATGGTTGGTTTACCATGTTTTGACCAAAACTAAGTTCAATGTAACAACTGCAAACTTTGCTTTGTCTGCGCATAATAAATAATTCAGCGGAGAAAATTGAGTGTTAACGCATCATCCCTCAAACAAAGCCAGGCTCTTTTTTTCCAGCAGCCAAAATATACAAGGTCAGAGAAAGTCAATAACATTTCTGCTAATAGCATTTCTAGGACAGATGTGGGATAACAGCCGCTTATAACAGGTTTCCTCGTGATATTGTCACTAAGGTGACAGTGCATCAGATGTGTGATCTCACCCAAGAAAATGACTGCTTTGAATTAATTTCACATCATGGCTTACTTGATAAAATGGTTATTTGCAGCTCTGCACGGTGAGCGTTCAGGAGTCTGTTTGCCTCTGTGTCTTTGAACGTTGTTGATTAAACGAGGATGACCAATCGTATGACCATTATTGTCTTGTTGTCGTCTGTAATTGAAGCTAAGCTGATTTGAAGTATTTCCTCATGAACTTCATGGACATTTGATCAAAACTTCTAATTTAACAATATGCCTCTAAACAGGAGTGATGAGACACTCAAAATATCACAAATTCATCTCAGTCTTTGTTTACTCTTCCCTCCTAATGTCATTTTTTGTTCTTTTTTAAAAGTCTTTGTCTTTGTTTTCAGTGACAGGCGCTTGTGCTAAAAGCTTTCTAACTTGATAGCAATAAAAAAGGAAATATTTGGTAGTTATTTTTTAAATCTATGATTATAAACTGAATTTTCTGGATGATTTTTAGGAAGAGTGTAGATTTTGTATGTGTTTGGTGAAAAAAATAAAAGGAAAGAGAAAATGTCTGCTGCCCTTTCTAACTAGTTTGTGTCCATATTTAGCTGGATGAGGGGACGCCTGCTGAGCCGGAAGGTTCCTTTGTTGATTACCAGACTAATATGGTGAAGCATTCAAAGGCTATTGCAGTCACTGCTCAGGAAATGGTAAGACTTCACCACAGCTCCAGCTTTAACCTGACAAAGCTGAGAACATTCTAACAAACCCATTGTCATATGTTGATGTAAGCAGTATCTGCATGCAGTAATCTGGCCAGTGTTTGATGCAAAGTCCCTAGTTTGTAAATGTTGACCACTATACTGAAATAAAAAACATTTGTTTTTAGCTCTGTTCTAATGCTCACTTATTGTGTTTTTCATCCAGATGACCAAATCGGTGACTAGTCCAGATGAGCTGGGGGCTCTAGCTTCTCAAGTGACCGTGGATTACAGCCAGCTGGCCGTTCAGGGCCGACTGGCTGCTTACACTGCTGAGCCAGAAGAGGTGAGCAGGAAACTCAGACCTTTAGTCAGACTCATCAAGCAGCTCGACTTGGTAATATTTTATGTGCACTGATGATGTCAAGCATTGCAACAGCAAGCTTCAACATCAGGCAAAAAGAAAATCATGGTTTTCAAAGACATAGAGCTATAAAGTGATGCAACTATTTCTGGAAGTTTCCACTGATTAAAATCCAGGTTATGCACAGAAGCAGCTAAGAGGTCAGGGGAAACTTTGGAGGAGTTGTTGGGCTCCACGGTGCCGTCAACAGGACAACCATTAGTAGTGCATTCCACAAATTGGCTTTTATTTAAGAATAACAAAAAGCAGAATGTTGGAAGCAAGTTTTCAATGTTTTTGGAATTTTTAGTAGTTTTTATTTAGTGTTGATGTCTGATTTTTCAATTCTATTTTACTTTTGATTTGTTTCATTATTTGTTTGTAGCTTAGTTTTTTTATTTTTTGAAAATGTTTTGTTTCAGTTTAGTGTGTATTGGCTTCATTTTCAATTTTAGTCTTTTATGTAATACGATATACATAGCTGGGGGTAGGACTAAAAATTATAAAAAGCCTGTACTTATACAGCACTTTTTCAAGTCAGGAGACTTGACTAAATTCATCCACACACTCACACACTGATAGTGGCAAGCTATGTTGTAGCCACAGCTGCACTGGGGCTCACAGGAACCGAAGCGAGGCTGCCATACACTGACACCACCGGGACCACCATCAGTAGGTGATGCAGGTGAAGTGTCTTGCCCAAGGACACGACGACACTGAAAGCCGGCGCCAGGCTTGAACCGACAACCCTTCAATTTTAGGGCAAACTCCTACATCCGACGCCACTGTCGCCCCTTAATAGAAATATCAAGGGGCGACATAATAACATAATAGAAAAAAGATGACCTGACAGCTGTACCCAATATCTGCTGGTGTAATGCAGCACAGCAGAAACAAAAATGATAACAGCAACTCTGGAAACTAGACCGAATATAGGTGAATTCTGATAAAGACACAAATAAAAACTAAAGTTCAAATTGAATTAGTTTTGATTAGGTTTTTAAAGTCATTGAGACAGTTTCATTTTTTTTCCTTTTCTTTGCAAGGTCCAGTTTTTAATTTTATTTCACTTCACAAATTCTAGTTTTCATTATTTCATTCGTTTTTTTTTTCATTCTGCACTGCTCTGAACCTTCCATATAAATGCTTTTTGCACCATGTCTCTCCTACACTGTTTACATTTGATCACTGCTGCACTTTATAAATGGAAATGTTCATTTCACTGCTAAGCTGCTCATTCACTGTTGAAAAAGCTGTACATATCCAAATTTTGTTTTTTCTACACTCTATGTTTGCAAAATGACAGTCTAAGTCTAAATAACATGGGTTACATTTTTTATTTTATTTTATTATTTTTTTTAGCTCGCTGCTTGTATGAAGACAAATTAAAATATGTGGATGACTGAGTTCTGGTTTATAACCTTGACTCTTTCTGAGAAGTGGAGAGGACAGCTTAACATTATACATCACTCTGAACACTTTTCCTGCTTGAAGTTTAGGAGATCTTTGTGGGTTTTTTTGTCCTTTTAAAGTCAGTTTTACGGTATCTGATTAGCTTCTTTTTCTTTGCAGATCGGTTTCCAGATAAAAAACAGAGTACAAGAGCTTGGCCACGGCTGCATTTTCCTGGTACAGAAGGCCGGAGCTTTGCAGATCAGCCCCTCTGACAGCTACACCAAGCGAGAGCTCATTGACTGCGCCCGTGCAGTCACAGAGAAGGTATCAGCATAAAAAAACATCGGCACAACATTGCTAAAAAAAAATCTTTTACATGAAGCAGGGAGAGAAAATTCATAAAACATTTTGTTTTATTATTTATGGAGATTTTATTTCCTCCTTTATGCCTTTTTATTTATCTGCAAGTTTTTTTTTTTCTGAATTAAGAAAATTTTTAGTTTTCATGATATGCTAACAAAATCCACTCACCTGTTTTTTCTTTGGCAAAAGCGTATCTTTCTAACCTCTCTTTATCTCCAGGTGTCCTTGGTGCTATCGGCACTCCAGGCCGGCAATAAGGGCACCCAGGCCTGCATCACAGCCTCCAGCGCCGTGTCAGGCATAATCGCAGATCTGGACACCACTATCATGTTTGCATCTGCCGGCACCCTCAATGCGGAGAATGATGAGTCCTTCGCTGACCACAGGTTGGAGAGGGAAATACTTGAAAAGCAGTTGTGGCTCCCCCACTTTAAACAGACAGAACAAAGCTTTAGCTTCTACAGTCAATGCAGCAGAAATCTGCATTTGATTTCTAAAAATGCTAAATGCAGATTTTAAAGATGAAAAATTAGCTGGAAGATTTGAATAATAAAGGAGCCGTCATACCTTAGAAAACATTCCCCTCTTACTGCTTATTGTTTTGTTTAGATTTAATTTGTGCATTATTGGGTTTCTATCTTCAGAAGGACATTAGCTCCTGTCAAAGGGGGCCCTGAATGCAGCACAGTTCAGAGACAGACACATCCGCCGATCCAAGCTGAGACCCGTGACATTACATGACACTATGACATAAATCCCTTCAGGCAGTTCTTAGTGAGGCTGTCCCTCATGGAAGATTAGAAAAACACATGCGTCAGTGCTTCCTGCATCAGTGCAGGATCCCTCCGTTTTAGGCAATCTAAAAACTGTAACCTTTCCTTCAGCTTTGTGGTCGTCCTCCTCAACTGTTTAGGAAAAAGTTCTCCTTTGAAAACAAGATGTCTGCATGTATTTGCAATGATTGTTTCTGCTAGGCTTTACTCTAATGATATCCAACATTTGTCTAGCATAGCTCAAATTCTTTTAAAGCTCACCTGAATCCTGCCTGTCATATTCTTTGTTTTTCCTCTAACTCAGCTTATTTTCTTTCTTTTCTGACCTTTTCTGCTCTCAGGGAAAATATCCTGAAGACGGCCAAAGCCCTGGTAGAGGACACCAAGATGCTTGTGTCTGGAGCCGCTTCGGGTCAGGACAAGCTGGCCCAGGCCGCCCAGTCTTCTGCCAAAACCATCACCCAGCTCACTGATGTTGTCAAACTGGGAGCAGCCAGCATCGGCTCCGATGACCCTGAGACGCAGGTTACCATCCCATTCACTTTGCTTCATGTGAGCCTCTAGACTCCCAGACATCATGGTAACAAGTCGGTGTCCCCGTCTGCCTCCTTTAGGTGGTTCTGATAAACGCAGTTAAAGATGTGGCCAAGGCACTAGCTGAGCTCATTAGTGCCACCAAGTGTGCAGCAGGGAAGACTGCAGATGATCCGTCTATGTACCAGCTGAAGGGCGCCGCCAAGGTAGGAGGGATCTTTCTTAAAGTCTACAATGAAGTTCAGAGGAGTTTGTTGGGTCATTGTCTTAATTCATGATGACAGAAATTCATGTTTTCTGTCATCAGCAAAGAAAATAATAATAATCTTAGCTCTCTACAGCTCATCAAAAGAGATAGAAAAGGGAGTTTGAAAAGTGCGGTATAAAAAAACCCTCTTCACTCATGAAACCCTTATATTTCTAAATCCTAGTTTCTGAAATACATGTAGCGTTAATGCAGCGGCTGATTCATTATCACTCTGTGCTGTGAAGATGTCAGTTCTCAGTCAGCAGGAGCCACAGGTGGGGAAACTGAGCCTATTTTAGGTTCATTTTCCTCGTGTCATAGATTATAATTAATTACATCATTATTTGTTTCTCTTTTCATGCAGGTTTAAAAGGTTTTAGAATTAAAACATTTTTCATAAACTTATCATGTCAATGTTGTGAGACTTGGTATATATAGCCATAGTTATGAATGTCATTCTTGTTTTTTTTTTTTTTAAAGTGTGCTCTTTAGGTTAAAAGGGAGCTGGGTGGGGCGGGTTCTGTTTCGGGAAATTAATAAGAAAATGGTTCCTAAAAATGTATGGTTAATAAAGCTTCAATCAAATTAATATTGTTTAAACCAAATTTTAGCAATATATTAAAATATTATTAATTAAAGATATGAAGAAGAAACGGACCTAAGAACCTGAATTGTATTGTCTGTTCTGACAACTTATCAGAAATGTGGCAATACTGGATTTCAAAGGAAATGTTTTGTATATCAGAAAAGTATTTTGATGGGGATTCCAAACATCTTTTACTGATATGACAAAATTTGACTAGAGTTATGTTGACACCACATCGCCCTCTGGAGTCACAGTATAGTATGGTCATTTAGTTAGCTGAAGGATCAGCATGGATCTGGCTTTTTGCTGGCGTTAACACATTTTCAGACGGTTTAAATTGTGATGCTATTCCAGAAGCTTAATATTGACTCATTTCATCCATTTCAAAGCGGAATCTGATCTCTTTGGATTAGTGGCCTGTCTGAAGAATCCCTTTCCTCCAATTGTCTTTTTGATATGAATTAACAGCTTAAAGGTTGTGCTGACACAGACAGTAGAGCAGACCCTCAGCATAATGCTACCACCGCTATGCTTTACATTTAGTTCAGTGTTGTTAGGTTTTAAGTGCAAACTTTACTTTACTCCTCTGTACTGATTGCTTGTAACTGTGGTCAGTGACCTAGACTCTGTCTTCTCTGATCATAACTTTTTTTTTTCTCCAAAAAGCAGCAAATTTATTCATAGTTGAAGGTTTGGATCATCAGACTTTTTTTTTTCTTTGTCCCGGATAATGGACACTCAGTTTGTTTGTAACCTTTGGATAATATCAAAAGGTTGTGAATTGCGGAAAATAAAACATAAATACACTCCTGTTCAAATTTAGATTAATATCAGATAAAAACAATTGTATTAATTCCGTTTTGCAAAGTTGGATTATAAGAATGTTCTAAAGAGCTTTAAACTGAAAAAACGAAGAAGTCGTGAGAAGGAAATTTGTTGACAACAAATAAACTAAATGAAGCCATTTATCAGCTGATCAAATATTTAAGACCGCAGCCTTGAAAAGCTAAAATCTGTGCAAAAATCTGGATTCCATGTCATTTCCTCTGAAGTAATTTCACTGTGAAGATGTCTTGATGGTAGAAACAGAAAAAGCTCAGTCTTTGAATGTGGAGGATTGCTGAACGGCATAAACAAAGCCTCTAACAACGTGCCATTGCTGCTGAGCTGTAAGACATTCATGTTGCATTTCTTAAAAGATCCTCAGCGATATTCATCAAATATTATAATAAGTCTTAGACCCTCAAAAATCTTACTGGCACTGACGTTCCAAATGGCTGTCCTTTGAGACACAGGACAAACCTGGTCCCAAAGTGCAGCCAAAAGACCATCAGATGGCATATGTGAAAGAAAGGCTACACAAAAAAGAAGTGGGTTCAAAGGCACTTCTCCTTTAGAACCACAAAACTTTCCTGATGACTTCCAGCATTATTGGAAGTAAGAGGAGGACCTGAGCATACGCATGTGGAAGAGGAAATGGTTTTTTTTTTAACAGTGTCCTGTCTGGCAATGTGGCAATAAGAATTATTTTCATGATGCCAAAAAGAGATTCCAACAGATTTTAGTTTCACAAGTGGAGCAGTACGGCTATCGCCATAGTGTTTCGCTTGACTTACGCATATAAATGGCTTTATTAAAATTCATGCAGGGAGTTTTACAGATTATATGGACACTGCTGTGTCCATATAATCCTGCTCTACTGTAAGTAGAACAGGAAAGGAAAAACAAGAAAAAATGAGAAAAGGTGAAAGAAAGAGGAGATAAAAGGGAGACGATTATAAAACATCTTCAATCTGCTTCACCACCTTCAGAACAGCAAAACTAACAGATATAGCATATCAAATACAATACATTAACACCTTTATACTATCACTTAAGTGTAAGTAGTATTGTTTATTCTGACATCTATACTGTGGTAGCAGAAGATAAGAATTTGGGCTTTCTGTATGGAAGTGAATCTCTTAAGTACCTGGAGCAACTGTAGTTGTTTGTGAGCATTCACTTGTGCATAAAGTTTATCAAAAAAAGAATAATGCTCAATAGTGGTTGTGAAGAGCCAAAGACCCGCCCCCCCAGAGCACAAAGGCAAGCGCTGGGGGACCCAAACCCCAGATGCCCAAAGGGAACCCCAAAGTAAAGGCGCCCAAGAGGGGCCAACACAGTAAATCTGCCCCCCCACCAAGGGAAGAGGAGAGACGGCCCTGAGGAAATCCCCCAGCCGCTGCAATGCCCGAAGCCCCCAGGAGCTGCGGGGACTAGCCCGCGGGCTCCGCCAGCAAGTGGAACCGGCCATGGGCCCCAGGGACCCGAGGCCCCAGAGGCACCCCGACGTATAACATTACTCACACTTTTGGAAACACTTGCATCAAGCATGCCAAAAGGAATATATGAGGGGATCACACTTTAATTTTCTCTTTTAGGTTTTTTAATTTGTATTATTATTATTATTTTTTTTTTTAGCTGTGGTCTTTACCTTCTGATCAGCTGAGGAACCGCCTATTTGAGTTCATTTGTCACATTTGTTGCTCTCTTGTTCTCATTTCTTCTTCCTTTTCATTTTGAAGCTCTAATTTAAACCTTTTTAAGATCTGATTTCACAAAATGCTAATTTACGCAATTGTTGTCCTAAGATTCGGATCAGGAGTGTAGCATTAAACGAAGTTTTTTTCCTGTCTCTGTCCTGGAAAAAAAAAAAAAACAAAGGTTCAAAAGCATAATTAAAAGCCTAACAAAACTACAGCATTATGCAGAGAATAAAATACCTTCAGTTAATCATGAAACCTTTGCTGTGCCCAGGTGATGGTGACCAACGTGACATCACTGCTGAAGACTGTCAAAGCTGTGGAGGACGAGGCTACTCGGGGCACTAGGGCGCTGGAGGCTACAATCGAGTGTATTAAACAGGAAATGACGGTAAGGGGGGGCCAGACACCAGAGGAAATATTACCACCAGTTCTATGATAAAAAAAAAAAAAAAGTATATATATATATGTTTGTATATATGGAAACCTTTTTATACATTAAAAAGCTCACCAGCTTTATTATTAACAAGCTTAACTGTCTTCACTTCACTTCACCACTTCACCTGTTTTTCTCCACCTTCTCAGGTGTTTCAGTCCAGAGATGCTCCAAATAAGACCACCACACCAGAGGAGTTCATACGCATGACCAAGGGCATCACCATAGCTACAGCCAAAGCTGTGGCTGCAGGAAACTCTGCACGCCAAGAGGACATCATCCATACGGCCAACTTGAGCCGCAAAGCTATTTCTGACATGCTAACGACCTGCAAGGTGCGTACCTGCTTCAGCATGCAAGCTGTATTGTCCAAAAGACGTTGAGCTGTTAATTGTTGCTTTGCCTTTTCAGCAAGCGGCATACCATCCCGAGGTCAGTGAGGAGGTCAAGAACAGAGCACTGATGTTTGGAGCAGAATGCACCACTGGATACATTGATCTGCTAGAACAAGTGCTGCTGGTGGGTCATAGAAAGAGTGTGGGGAAAAAATAACTCTAGCTTTGTTTTCCTATTTGTGATATAAAGTGTCTCTTTACATGTGTATAACTGGTCTTCTGTGTTTTAGGTTATGCAGAAGCCCACAGCAGAGCAGAAGCAGCACCTGGCCGCTTGCTCCAAACGTGTTGCAGGCGCCGTGACAGAGCTCATCCAGACTGCTGAGGCCATGAAAGGTAGCGAGTAGCACCCAGAATCCCACCCAAATACAGAGCCTTGCAAAAGTGTTAGAGCCTTTTCTACGTTTCTACATTTAGTCGCATCAGAACCACATACTTTACCGAGCTGATCTTAATTGTCTGCGAAAGACAAAAACAAAGATGATAAATGTGAGTCTGAAGGAAGAGGATTAACGGTTTTAAGTAAATGTGTTCTAAGGATTAAATCTCAAAGGTTTAGTGTATTGTTGGCAGCCAGCCAAACTGTGTGAATAGGTTATGGACAAATGTACAGTTTTGGTCTTTAGATGCGAGTCCATAACCGCACTCCTTCAGCTACAGACACATGCTGTCCGTACTTCTTTGGAAAACAGCTCAGCTAAGCCGCATTGAATTGAGAATATCTCTGAAAAGCAATTCTTGGCACAGATTCCGAAACGGTTCCGGTCCAGGCTTTAACTGGGTCCTTCCTACACATCGATATGCTATGATTTAGCTCCTCGAGGTATTTTTAGTGTTGTTTAGAAGAAAACAACAGGATTATGCTGCCGCCACCATGTTTCGTGGTTAGGATGCTGTGTAGTGCAGTGTAATCATCATTGTGTTTACTTGTCACCTGAAATATTGGTCATATTTGTTGGAGTTTGTGGTTATAATTGGACAAAATGTGAAAACGCTACAGGGGTTTTAATATTTTTGCTTGGCCCTGTATGAAACAGAATTTTTAATTACTTTTAACAATATTCCTGTCCCTTTTCTATCTCGCCACAGATGGAGGTAAGTTAGCACTGATTTCTGTACTGTGATGTGTCTCTTCAGCACTACCAGGAGTTTTTTTTAATAAAGCCCCGCCACTGCCAGGCTTCTTGAGCACAATTGGCTCCATTCATCCCTCTTTATTTCCATTTCAACTACATCACTTCATTTTCATCCTCTTTGTTTCGCTCCATCCGCTGTGCATGGGGATGTGAGGATTTTTTATTTTTTTTTTCCTGTGTTCACAGTTCAGTTGTTTTCTATTGCTGTCATCTTGAGGAATGCTCTGATGTTGCACTGCTTTCTAAGGCAATGTTGTTTGGATTCTGCGCCTGAGTTTGAAACCTTAAAATGTATGTATGCCGTGCTTCAGGTTCAGAGTGGGTGGACCCTGAGGACCCAACGGTGATTGCAGAGACTGAGCTGCTTGGAGCCGCGGCGTCTATTGAGGCAGCAGCAAAAAAGCTGGAGCAGCTGAAACCCAGAGCAAAGCCAAAGGTCAGTGATTTTATAGAGCGGAAGGAGAAAAGCGGTGGAAAACTAGTTTTAAAATGTATTAAACTGAAGGAAAAATGAGGGGAAAACGATTTTTAAAACGAAGAATAAAAAATAAAAGTTTTAAAACAACTCTACCTTCAGAAGGATAATGTGAAGGCCTCCAATCCCCCCCGCACATTATTGACATTTTCCCAAACAGAAGAGTTTGCTTTCTTAGTGCAAGGAAAGGGTGTACTGGCCTTTTATCAGCCAACTGACTTCAGCAACAGGTGAGGGAGGGTCTCCCTCTGCTACGCCATTGTACAAAATTCTCTCACTAAGGCTATTTCTCTTGAAAATTTAGATTGTATTTAATTTTAGCCAATTTGAAAGCCGAACTTGTACCTACAGTTTAGGTTCATGAAGCCCCAGCTAATGGCATTCACAATTATTTTTGTATTTGGTTAAAAAAAAATAAAAAATCTCATAGTTACACATTTGCAAGATCACTTTTTTTTTTTCTTTCATGATAAGTTCTATAATTTAAATGTTTGATCTGCATTTAAACTGCAGACCATTTCAGTTCTTCGGGTCTTCTTTCTAAAAGAGGAAGATTACCGTCTACGTTCGTCTTTAAAGTCTTTCGTTCTCATTTTTATGTGAAAAACACAGACCCAGCCTCTGACGCGTCGCCTTCGTCTACATCCATCCTCTCACACAACAGCGTTTACACCCTCCTCTTCCTCCTGTTCCTTCTTCTTCATCTATTTCCCATCTACCCATATGTCCTGGTTTTAGCCTAGTCTGTCAGTCTGCTGCCATTTAAACCCCCCACCCCCTCCTCCCCCACCACCGGAGGCCTTCTCTGCAGGGCTCTGTCTGATATGTTTGATATATTAGGTTGTTATTCAGTCCCAACTATATATCAAACATATTCCTACAGTGTCCCGCTCTGTCTTCAGACTTGTGGTGTGAATGTTTGTTTCTATCTGTGAATGTTTGATGTCTCAACTATAGAATATTTATTTCTCCTCTGTCAGTAATGAATTAGTGTTGAAGTAATTGTTGTTTTTCACCGACCGGCTGCCCTTTCACCTTTAGCAAGCAGACGAGACATTGAACTTCGAGGAGCAGATCCTGGAGGCTGCCAAATCCATCGCTGCAGCCACCAGCGCTTTGGTCAAATCGGCCTCCGCCGCTCAGAGAGAGCTGGTGGCCCAGGGAAAAGTGGGCTCTATTCCCGCCAATGCCGTGGATGATGGACAATGGTCTCAAGGGCTCATCTCTGCTGTAAGTTCGCTGCTGAAGGGAAGCGCCATCTAGCTGGTAACTGTCGGTGCTATGATTTTTTATTTTTTTTTTTTACATTTCTATGCTCTATTCTTCTCTCAGGCACGTATGGTAGCTGCAGCAACAAGCAACCTTTGTGAAGCAGCCAACGCCTCTGTGCAAGGCCATGCCAGCGAGGAGAAGCTCATCTCTTCAGCTAAACAGGTGGCGGCGTCCACCGCCCAGCTGCTGGTGGCCTGTAAGGTGAAGGCGGACCAGGACTCTGAAGCAATGAGGAGACTGCAGGTATGCAGCTACTCTTTCTTACTTTATTGATGAACATCCATCTTGGGGTCTTAAAAGAAAATATTACAAGATGTTATTGGTTATAAGGTGGCTGTTGTAATATCCCCATGTATTCATTTTTGTAATTTATACCATTTAGCAATATTTCCTTTAAATAATCAACCTTAAGCAGGAAAGAAAAGTGAGAAAATCTCAAATTCTGATCAACATGTTACATTAGATTTTCAGAGTCCAGACACTGTTTGTTTCCTCATTAATAGAAAAAAAAATATAAGTGTATATGTTCCATCGTGTTTTCATATTTCCATCACTTCATATTTGGCTATGCTGCATTGTATTTTCTGAACTCATTAACATTTTAATGCTATTACTCTAATAATAATGAAATGTTTTTAAAGGTTTTTAATTTTCTAGTTTGACTTGTTTTCCCCTTTTTGTAGATTGCTGGGAATGCTGTAAAAAAGGCATCAGACAATTTAGTGCGGGCAGCTCAGAAAGCAGCTTTTGACAAAGCGGATGAAGATAATGTGGTTGTGAAGACGAAGTTTGTGGGAGGAATAGCCCAGGTAATGTTTTGAATATAACCTGTCTTTTGGGATGTTACATTAATATTCTCTGATGTGTGTTAATTGTAAGATCATAAACAAAGGTTTATTTATAATTATCACTGAAAATGTGATTTTTCTTAGTACTAAGGATAATTACTGCATTATGCAAACTGGAGCGCATATTGTTGCATGTTACATTTTCATTTATGTAAATAGGCGTGGGTGTGTATGTGTTTACCCTTTTATCATGAACAAAAATTGTAAAAGTGAGTCTGCCACCTCTGCTGAATTGTGTATTTGATAAAAACTATGTCTGTACCATCTGTGCAGATTATTGCAGCTCAGGAAGAGATGCTGCGAAAGGAAAGGGAGCTGGAAGAAGCCAGGAAGAAACTGGCGCAGATCAGGCAACAGCAATACAAGTTCCTCCCCAGCGAGCTACGAGAGGACTCCAACTAATGCCTGCCCTGTGAGCTTTCACCGGTTTCTGCTAAGCTGGACCGCTGTATGACCGAAGCGAGAAGTTCGTTGCATGAAAGATTGTAAATTCCACTAAGAGCGAGTTTAAAATCCTACTGCGTGGAGCCGACTACTTCCTGCAAAACAACATAAAGATTGTGACGAACTTAATGTTAATCATAACTACTTAACCCGGAATGTGACATCTTTCAAACAGCACAGCTCACATCTTGTTCAACCCATAAGGTTTTATTTTCTATTTTGGTTTGCAGATCCTCTGTAAAGTCTTTCAAATGAAGAAGCGATTGTTCGGCTGTTTCTGTCGCTTAGCCGTATAAATGCAAAATGAATCTGAAAGGAAAAAAAAAAACACAAAGCATCCCTAAAACATTTTTAATCATTGCTGCGTGAATGTTGGCCTTTATGCTCCAGTTTGCACCTTAATGTCTGTGTGAATCATGTGAACCACTAAGTCTGCTTTGATACAGTGGTTTGTAAACCATAATGTGAAGGAAGATAGTTTCATTTAAGTGTTTTTTTCCTCTGTTCTTCTCACTTATTCTTGTCTCTATAGGACAAACATATGAAGATGCAACACATTGTAATTCTAAGTTACCATATGAATGTTTTTTTCTACACAGGAAAACATGTTACCAGATTATTTATAACAGTGGGCTAATTTTTGAAGTTTTTTTTCCAGGGTTACATGCGATCTCAGATTATTGCTACCAACAGCAGAGTTTTGTGGCTTGCAGGCAGAATGTTATACCATAAAACATGTTTGTTTTGGTTTTTTCAACCGCTTCTCCTTTTAGGCAATGAGACAAGGTATAAGTAATGCAATAATATCACAGGTGCTTTAGGGGGCAGCATTGGTTACCTTCACACCATACACAAATCAAATCCAGGGAAATCTGTTATAAAATAGACACTTATTTGATGGTACAGACTAAAATCTATTTATAAGTCTATTGTTACTTAATAATCATTTATTAGCAATATCCTCACTGACTCGAATTTAAGCGTTCATACAAGTTTTGTCAAATTAAGCAACAAAAAAACAACAACTTTGCAATAAGATAAAGTGAAACAAGTGCAAAGATAATCATGTCGATCCGTCTTTTTTTTCTCCTCTGCAACTTTAATCGAGCAGAAAAAGCTTTGTTTACAGCGTGTGATTGTGATCATCATCTAATAGCTTATTCTGGAGGCTGCATTTCAGTTTGAAATTCGACTACACTGTAAGTTTAGCCACTGCCTTTAGGATGGGAGACTTTATGCTAAAGGTGTAGAGAAATCTATGCCTCCACATAGGAACACTGAATCCTAGAGCGTATAAACAATGTTTTTTTTTTTTTTTTTAAGTTGAGGTTTTGTTTTTCTGGCATTACGCTCTGAGCATTTTGAATGAGACGGGGAGCGTCCAACGCTTATCAGTGCAGTCTGTAGTGTTATTATTATTAGTGCCTTAGTTGTTTATCCATACAGTGTCTGCTGCTGCAGTGACAGCTTCATGTAGAAGACAGGTTATTGCTCGGAAACGTAGGTTCATGTCTGTGGTATTTTAACATACTGTTCCTTCAAGTGCTGAAACGACTGCGCCTCTTTTGTCTCCCCTCTCTGCTACATGTGAAGCCTTTCCTAGGAGGGTAAAGGAGGAACCGTCTGCAAGTCAGAAAAACAAAATGTGTTGAAATTGAAAATGTACTATATTACATATAGGAACACATTTTTGTATGGAATTTTTTTGGGCATGTAACCACAGTGCTTCTGAACAAAAACAGCCACCAGAGACTGAAGAGTGCAATGAAGTCTCTGGCAACATTTTACAGATGAATTTGGTTTTCTTGTGGTTTTACAGTCCTTTGAAAGATAATTGATAATTGTTGATAGGAATATTTCATTATATCTGTCACTGTTTTAATGCCGTGTGGAGTTATAGAAGTGTTTCCCCCCCCCCCAAAACCAAAAAAATGAAGTTAGAAAGTGGTTACACTTAAGATGAATGATAGCTTAAGATACTAAAGATATTTATCTGGCCTCTATAAAACTTATTTTTTTGTATTCACTGAAAATAAAGCATTTCCATGTAATTCCTTCTTTGTGGGCTTTTTTTGCTAGGTCAGAAATATTTACTTTTATTCTACCTCTTACATGCGGCTCTTTCCTCATGATATCACTGTAGTAGTGCTATTCATCACACCTTCCCTATTGGAAAGGTATTAACTGAACTTTAATTGCAAACTACAAAGTGTTCTGCTTGGATTACATGTTTAAAACCACCACAATGATGCATAACCTTGAAGTGAAAGATAAGGTGTAAAAAGTTTTCACAACTAAAACTTTGCAAAATAGGGTCTTAAGTGTAAACTCTTTTATTTAATGCAAAGTAATAAAATTCTGCCTTCAGACATCATTTAGTCAAAAGTCTAATTTTTTAGGATTTATTCAAGGCAGAACTCAAATCTTTCTGCAAAGACATTTCTAAATGCCATCATGAAGAGAATTGAGACCAGCAGACGGCCCTGGGACAAGATTGTGTTTAAAGCAGGGTTAGGTAATAAAACAGTTATTTCATCATAAGGATGAACACAATTATCACTATGGAAGACCAAGAGAGTCACTAAAAAGAAAAAACAGCCATTTTAATTGAACATTTTAATCACACAATTAAAAATCAATCTTGAAAAGCGTTTTTTCCAATTCTGCATTTTAAGTTAGATTATTAGAGAGGAACTATAATTTGTATTGACAGATTATATTAAATATCGCAATTTGAAAATGAGTTTTCGAATCCTATTTCTAAATGAAGATATTATATTCATTTTTAAATGCCTTTCCTAATTAAACATTTAAAAAGATAATTCATTTCATTTCCATGTTCTTTTTTATTTTACCCTGTGTTTACCTTAAAACCAATCACAGCTGCTCCTTAGATTTAAGCAGCTCTCTCATTGGTTAGATGGCCAGCGCAGTTTACAAAATGACCAATGAGGAAACTGTTCACATCAGCAGAGCAACAGTGACTGGTTTAACTGGTTTTCAAAGTGATCAGGGACAAGAAGGGTGAAGGAAAAGGTAAATGTAAGCTTTTTAAATGTGTGTGATTAAAATATGTATTTATATTAACATTTATGAATTGTGGTTTTTAGATGTCCAATTAAAAACAGGATTTAAAATACATTTTAAGATTGCAGAATTTGATAATAGATTAATAAATACAATTTACAATTCCTCTGTAATAATTCAATTTAAAATGTGCAATTAGAAAATGCTTTTCAAATTGCATGGATTAAATGTTAACTGTGAAGTGTCTTTTCTTCTTTTTCAGTGACCCTCCAAGTAGTCCATAAAATCAATCATCTGAAAACAGAAAGGGAATGGTTGAGCTGCAAACCTACCATCCTAGCTGTGGTTTAATTTTCCTTTGGGATTAATAATCTATTGTAAAACTAAATAAATGTGACCAAAGAAGTAGCTGATTCTCCCATGGTAACTTCAGAGGGTTTCAGCAATCCATGGTTTTCAAGTGGGTAAAATCTGCTGACAGTAAAACTAAATGTCATGCCCACTAAAAAATCTGACATTTACAGGAGTTCAAGGACAGAAACCTGATGTTTCAAAAACAATGCTTTAAGTCTAATATAAGAAATCGACTTGCATACAAAATGCTATCCATGGCAGGAAACTAACACTGCACATCATGCTAATATGGAGCAGTTCTTGAATGATGGAATGATGAATGATGGAATGATGGATGGTTGAAGGCTTTAGACGACATGAGGCTGGGGTGGAGGCTCACCTTTCAGCAGGAGAATGATCCTAAACATACAGCCAGGCCTGAAATGGAATACTTTACATCACTTTTTCCCATTCGCTCGACTAACAACAAGTGGAAACTGTGTACACAAACAACACTTTATGCATTTGTTTCTGCAAAACCTGCAGAAAACCCTGTTTAAATTCCTGTCCCTTTAACCATCCTGCGCTGCCTCACATTTTAAAAAATATTTATAATGAATGCTTTAAAATTTGTGGTTTTAATGTGACCAAATATGGTAATGTTCAATGAAAGTTAACGTTTGTTGCAAGCCACTTCATTCAGATATTATAAGCCCCCTTCTCTAAACCTGGTTCCTAAGAACTGTTCAACCCTCTTAAATAAAAGGTTTTTCAGTCATTAAAACATTCTTGTAATTCTAAGGTGTGAATTGTTGATAGACATAGTAGTTTTGAAAATGCAGCTGAATATTATTGCAATTCCTCAAGGTGTATATTTGTCACATTTTCTTAACATTAATGTTGCACCGTTTTCAGCAGCATTTTTCAAGCAATGATTTAAAGAATAATTCAAATCATAATTTTCAATCATCAGATTTAAAACTAATCATAACATTGATACCTTCAGGGGTGGATTTAGGAAATTTGGGGCCTAGGTAAAGACAGGCAGGGGGCCCTATGAATTGAGAAGACAACACATACAAGAGACCCATTATACAGACACAGAAATTTTAATAAAATAGACATAAATTATTTGTTCTACGTTTTGTCCCTCTCTTCTTGTCCCCTTTCCTGTCTTTTGCCTCTCTATGTTTTGTACTTAGATGACTTTTCACACTGTCTCAAAATGAATGAAATATTTTTTTCCAAGCACTAAGCTCACTTAGCCGATTGCTCCTTCCTGTGTTTCCAAAAAGGCAACGGCAAATGTAAATAACAGTCCTTCTTTTTACTGTAGACAAGCCATGATCTGTTTATCTGTTCTACAATTTTCATTTGTATGAAATAATAGCTGCATGAATCATGACAGCAGACCAGATAGAGGAGAGCAGGAGGCGGGGTTACCAATCTACTTGCTCTGGAGAGCTTGAGACACACTTAATATTATAGGCATTCAGATGGCATTTTGGCGAAAGGATTTTTATCAAAAACATAATTATTGTGCACAAATAAGGAATACTTGCATTAACCATACATGTAAACAGTATTTTGGGGCCCTGGGCAAGTGCCTTGTATTGCCTAATGGAAAATCCGCCCCTGGATACATTTATAAGGGGCAGCCCTAAAATGTGAAAACAGACCTCTTACAATCCATCAAAATATGAGAAATATCTTTATTATAGTATTGAATGGTCTGGTTCCCCTTGTATTATTGTTGTTCATAATCTTTGATTAAGAGCAAGGCTTGGTGGAAATCTCTTCAGAAACTCTTAATAAATAATGAGGTTCTGACATCATTATTAAACTCAATCATTTCAATGGCTATCCCCCTCATGCACGTTGTTTAAGAAGCAGCACCCACTGGATTCCCACCAAGTGGAAGTGCTTCGGTGAAAAGTAGAAGAGGCAGGTTTTGGCATGAAAACAAGGTTCCGTATTATTATCAGGGCAAGATCGTATTTCTGAGTCAGCACAAATCTAAAAGATATATTGAGCCCTGGCTATGAACTGAGGCTCGTGCTAAATCTGTCCGGCACTAAAATCTGAGGAGGCGACGTCAAATACTGAGGCACAGCTGCTCCTGGACCAAGATCAAACCTGCTGTCTGTTTTCTGATATTCACTCAAATCAGTTTTCTCGAGCAGTTCTAGCCTTTTTTGTTAAAAAGACTCAAATCTATGTGTTCAGTGCTCAGGTTTTCTTGTATATGTCTGACTTGGCTGAGACTAATGAGGCAAAAACCTGACTAAAGTAGGCTAAAGTACTGAGGAGGTTGAATTTAATATAGACTGGCAGAGGATATGATACTGCTCATACAGTATATTTATGCTCTAAATCAAAATCTAATAAAAGCCGGGTGATACTGTTACTGATGACTGTAGCAGGTTACATGGAAACTCTTGTACCTCCACACCCTAAAGGCACCTGTTGTAACTTGGAGAATATTTTTTAGTCACAGTTCTGTCTAATTTCTATTTTTTTTTATTAGGAAACCATGAAATTCTTTCTCTCATCTTTTCTCCTTTTTTCTATTTATCCTCTTCTGTTCTACTTACATTGCAATGTCCATATAATCTGTAAAACTCCCTTCATAATTATAATAAAGCAATTTATATGCATGAAACAAGCGGAACAATATGGCAATAGCCGTACTGTTCCACTTGTGAAAGTAAAATCTGTTGGGCTCTCTTTTTGGCATCAAGACAATTATTCTTATTGTCACACTGCCAAAAGGAAACCATGAACTTAAATAAGGATCTCTTCTTACCTATAGAGCTGAAGGAAGATTACTGATCATTTGCATACAAGTACCATCCACAAGTGTCCAAAAATATATATAGTACCTCAAATAATAGTTTGAACTGAAAATGAAAATTAAACACGTTGTAAGGGGGAAATTTAAAAGGTTAGCTGGAATGGAAACTTTAATTGTGTCTGTTTTTGTGAGAAATTATAGGCTAGGATTTTACAGTAAAATATCCCCGCATATCACACTGTGCATATATCACAGACTTTGTTGCCTTTAAAAAAAAAAAAAGTTGATTTCCTTGAAATAATAACCTTAAACTTTTCATTGTGTGACTGAAAAACTGTGAGAACTGTTTTCCATTTTACATGAGAATCTGAAATGTGTGGCCTGCATTAATTTTCCATCTGTCTTTGTCTTTTCCAGTTTTGTGGATCTACAGAATGAATGTTTTTTCAGTATTACTTGGGATGATAAGCCAAACTCTGTTGGATAAATTTGAAAGTGTTTGTTGACATAGTTTTCTTTTTTTTTTTTTTTTTTTTTTTTTTTTTTTTTTTTACATTTAGGTCTGTGGTCTGATTGGGTTAGGAACATTGGTATCCTTTAACCCCAACCAGTTTTCTATTATTCATCTGTCTTCTTTTAGGGTTGCTGTTTTATCTCTTTGTCTTTCCACCACATATTTCTTATGTACACATAAGTACCTTCTTCTTTCATATTGGTTGTGTGTCTTAAGTGCAGCCTATAGTTTCAATATTCTATTAAAACCAGTTATCTTTTCCCTTTATTAAATATACAAAGGATTTTAAATCTTGGTGTTTATGATGAATTATCTAATTTATCCATTCCTGTTCCTAAATCTAAATAATTAAGATATTTGTACAAAAATTTATATCCAAATGGTTTTGGTAAAGGTGCATGTATGCATATGTGTGTGAACATTACAATTGTTTTTTTTACCATTCGTTGCAAGATTGCTGACATGTTTTATCTTCCGTTCTATGTTGTAATTTTTCTTTTTTGGAAAAAAAACACCCATATTTTAGTTGCATTTAACAATTGAATTTTAAAGTATTAAACGTATTAAAATCCCAATAACGTTAATCACGTCTCTGTTTTGGATTCAACAAACCTTTAAAATAATGTATAATTTACTTTTATTATGTCATATATTCCAAAACTTCAGAGACTTTGAAGTGATTAATATTTTAGTCTAGTTTGTCTACCATAAAAAAACACAAAATGATTTATTATAAATAAGTTTGAAAACATTTCAAAAAACTGACAGAAATATATCTACAAATATAGATCCTCGTCCAAACAATTTATACACCTTATGAAAAAAGGAAATTCTTTTGAGGACCATGATGTTCACATTTTGGACAAAGAAGACAGGTGGTTTGAAAGGGGTGTGGAGGAAGCTATATACCGGTATGTTAAGAAAAAAAACAACAACCTTAAACAGATGGGATGGACTGAGGTTTCAGTTTTCAAAAACCAACAATGCAGTGATAGAGCTGATTCCTTCCCATTATCATTGCAAGCCCCATCCCCATACAGGGGACCAGGACATCTCACCTGTTCAGCCAGGCCAACAATTCCCCCTAACAACCCCCTTTTCAGAGGCATACCCCAGTGTCAGGTATTGCAGGCTAACAAAGAACCCAAACAACCCTCATTCCTAAGGGGCGGACCCTTTCGTCCGCTTCAATATGCGTGTTTTCTGAGCCAAAACAAGGCTTTCTTTTCCACTCTATAAAGCCTCAAACTCAGTCCTAATTCTGACATTTTGAATTGAAAAGGGTTCCTGGATGGGAAGCATAATGACTTCAAACTTGGAAACAAAGTCCAGTGGATTGTTTTTTAACTCTTTTTAGAAACTTATCCAGAAGACTTTTTACTGGAAAACCAAAACTGTGGAATTAACCTTTTACAAGTCAATCAATTGGATATATAATCCAGATAAAATGGGTATAAATCAATATTTCCTCATTGATATTTGCAATTTTTTTTACATTGAGTAGATGGAATTGATTTTTCCTGAATCAAATACCTGATCTGTTTGTTGGACAGGTATAAGGTGCCGATGTTTGTCTCTCCATTAATTTAGAGGCCAAGGGCCACACGGATTGAGCTCTAAGGCTCTCTGATCTCTGAGCATGAGCGGCATGTCTTGCTGGCGGCTCTACTCCATAAAACACACGGTAGGATTGCAACACTGTGACAGCTGACTGGCCCAAAAAAGCTTCACGGGAAAGATGTCATGTACACCAACCCACCAAAGAAATAAAATAGAGCTGCAGGGCATGACAAACCATAAAGAGATCAGATGAGCTGTTGATCTGTTGATCTAAAAGTCCAATTAGAGAAGTCGTTTAATGCAGATTTACGTTTGATCAAGTTGATCAAGGCTTGAAGAGCACTTTTTGGCAGGTCTGAGACAGGATTTTGGGTTCTTGTACACTTTTTACAGATCTGTATGAGCAGCGGCTGGAGTTCAACAGATGGTTCATATGTCATCAGATCCTAAAATATACACTCAACAAAACATGAGACAACGCAAGACTTTCCTAGCATTATCAGACTGGGTTCATTTTGAACCCATAAAGCTCTAAACAGTCCTGTTAAATTGAACGATTTACATGTTTTCTTATCTTCTTCTCTTAATTCACAGTTAATATGTTCAAAAGCTGAGCTACTGTAATTGACAGTGACTTTTTATTGGACAGCCATCCCCCGGTGCTTACAGCAGGTTGTGTGGGACAGCTGTGCCACAGACACATTACAGTGGGGGTTGTCTAAATGCCAAAGCTTCTGTATTGTCCCACACCTCCCCCCTGACAGCTTTGTATCCTCTGGAGTCCATTTATGACAGAACTCTGAGAAATCCTTAATCCACTACAGAGGTAGGACAAGCCCGATGATACCACTGTGCATCTGATCCCGGTGTTGAGGTATGTTGTGAGGGAGCTGCTGAAACTGTCCATGGAGGACCAGCAAGCCGCACTGGCTAACATGACACGCCTCAAAGAGAGGAGATTTCACAGGGGCTTATCCAATCACCTCGCTGTTATGTGTGAATAGTTTCTGATGCATGACATGCTATTGTGATTCATCAGAGCTGACCTCTGAACAAACAGAGAGCACGTGGAAATCAGAAACAACTATCATTCGTATATTCTTAATTTTTTATTAAATCAATAGCAATAAATGGAGCCAAAGTTTGATATCAGCCTTAAGGTTTCTATTTCGTCTTTCTCAGTGATAACTGAGTGAGGATTATCAGCATGTTTCTCCCAAATAATACCTCTTAGAGCACTGCTACCTTTTGACACTCTGCTTCCTTGTGGAAGGTGATAGAAATCAGAGATGTTTAGGGGCAGCATCCTCTCTGATGCCAGCACTCCATATATAGTCACATAAGTGGTCAAATGTCATGAAGGAGCCAATCAGTCAGAAGATTTGAGAAAAAAAGCAAAAGGCCCCGGCGTGAGAGAGCAGCTGCTCCTCCTTCCAAAAAGTATTTGGTGTCCAGTATCTGACATATTTGACTCTCCACAGGCTCCTTGACCTCGCACTCCAGCTTGGTGTTCTGTGTGGTTCAGACGCTCCCAACTTTTCTGTTCAGTTTCTCAGATCTGCAGCTAGCGCGGACACTAAGCAGCCATGGATGCCATCAAGAAGAAGATGCAGATGCTCAAGCTCGACAAGGAGAATGCCTTGGACAGAGCTGAGCAGGCCGAGTCAGACAAGAAAGCATCTGAAGACAGAAGCAAACAGGTTAGTGTCTCATTTAAAAGCTGCTCCTGTTCCTTTAAGGACAAGGTGCTTTGGAAAAGCTCATCACATTACACAATGTGGTGCAGAGCGCCAGCATCCAGCTATGTTTTCATGTATAGAATCAAGAAATAAAAAGCTTAAATATCATAGTTCATTTTCTATTTTATGTGATAAATTTCTAAATTGAATTTCCAGAAAAAGGTTGATCTGTGTGTCTATTTATACCTACCTTTAGGCTAAAATATAAATTTCAAAGATGTAAGATAATTTTTTTTTTTTTCTAACATAAATACGAAAATACCAATTCCCTCCATTAAACATTTTTATTGCATTATTGAGTGTGTTTGAATACATGTAGAGGCTAAAACAAAGTCCTCTGGTTTATCTGCTCACCAGCTTGAGGATGACCTGGTAGCATTGCAGAAGAAGCTGAAGGGAACTGAGGATGAGTTGGACAAGTACTCTGAGGCCCTGAAGGATGCCCAGGAGAAACTGGAACTCGCTGAGAAGAAAGCCACAGACGTGAGTTTGGTTTTAGGGAGGAAACTGTTTCATAAATCTAATGCGGCTTTGCCACACAGACTGCCGCGGATGCTTAGGTAATACTGTAATAAAGCACAAAATACACCTACGCGTTGCATATGAGGAATATAAGGGTGTAGGTAAATTTAGTCCTCAGGCTTGATATGGTAATGTCACAGTTCACAGGCTAACTGTTGCTATGAGGTGCCATTTGAATGAATTTTATTGCCAGTGTCCGGTTTCAGTCGGGCCTTTTTTACAGGCACATTTTGGCCTGCAAAAAAAATCCCTGATAGATATGTGGTCTTTCCTGGATCAGTTGCCCTTTGAAGGTCAGTCCAACCCAGATGGAGTTACAACCGCTGAGTTGGTCCAATGTTTAGCCAATTAGGCCATATCATATTTAAGAGACAAAAATTATAAAAAAAAAACAAAAAAAAAACAAAAACAAAACATTATTTAAAGATAAACCTTTTTTTTTTTGGCTTGGAACTACCTTAGGGTTAGTTTTGTGGCACCAGCAAAGTTATTGATAATTATGTTATGAAATACCTAGATAAAGTGAAAAAAAATAAAGGTTTATAAATTAGATTATCAGTAAATAATAAAAAATAGTAATATAAATAACAATAAAACAGATAAAAAGTAATTTTGCTCTGTTTTACAGCTCCTCAGGAACCACTGTCATGCAGGTTATAGGTTTCTTCCGGCTGCTGTACACCTAACCTAACCTAACTTAACAAATAGCTTGATTTCTGCAGAATTTGATGGCATGCAATGAGGCCATGCATCACTGAACAGGTGTTCTTGATATGCGTGGTTTCCTGGGTTGGAAAACGCAGCTGTAGCAGGTCACTCAGGACCTACTGCTAGTCCATTCATAAAACATGCTTAACAAGGTTAGTAGTGAGACAGAAATACCAACTAACTTACAGACCTGTTATTTATTTATTTATTTA